CTTTAAGTGTTCCTTTTACTGCATGAATGAAATGGGAAGGGAAGAGCCAGGCCCTTTCACAACTGTGTGATTGCGCTAAAAAGAGCCTAAGGAGGATTTTCATTAGCCAGCAGAGCTCATTAAGCACAAAACCCCCACAGCAGCGAGAACCTGCCGCAGACCGTCCTCTGTGTTATAAATGAAATTGCCATGATACAGGAAATCTAAGTTTTTCACTACTTTGAGAAGATGTGAACTGTGTTATCTCACATGGATCACAATATGCAAAAAACAGAAATTCTTCTTGAGAATTTATGAATAATGCATATTTTATGATCCCCATAGGAACAATTGTAGGATTACAGAAACACGGAGACGGGTAAATTTGCACATAGGTCTTTACCGACCGTTTCGGAACAAGTTTTAATTTAAAAGATCGATACGGACATAGCAAGAAAAAATAAATTCAAAGCTCGCATGTTTCCTGACTGACAGGCGGTGGAGGAATTTTTTTTCAGGAGAAAAAAACAAGTTAAGCATTTTAAGCTCGTTGTCCGATTCGGTAAATTCGTGTCGGGCCATTAAACTCTCTCACACAACACGAAATAAGCCTATAAACATCCACTTCTTACAACTGAGAAAACCTTAAAATAAACTAATCATTAATCATTTTACTTTGTGTTGGTATCAAACTGTAAAGAAACTGTAACTGAAGTAAGCAGAAAATTAGACAAAGATGCATCTCTGCATTTTAAATGGCGAACAATGATTTTTTTTGTTTTGTTTATTCTTATTTTTGCAAACAAAAGGCTTTGATGAATGGCACTCCCTTTAGCAAATGTCTAAAATTAATAATGCTGATGGCAGAGATGGAGGAAAACAGCTTGCATTATATAAATCACTCTGCTAGTGACCGGAATCAGTTGATTTTCAGATTAGTTTGACTTATTTTGTCCTTTCGGAAACTCGTCCAGCCGGACACCACTGACCGAGCTCTAACTTGCTAATGCTGCTTTCCCTTAATAACTAAAAGTAATAATAACATAAAACAAATATTTCTTTGTTGTAAATGTCTTAAAACTAGGACTAAAGAGCCGTCACTCTCTTGACATTTATGTTATAAAACCCTGAAGAGAATTACAGAACAGTTCATTTGCTTTTTTACAAAGCAAATGACAGCTTAATAACTTTTTTATTTTTATTTTACAGCTCGGCATGTAAAATGCAACATACCCCGAGACATATTTTTTTCTTTAAGATTATTTTAAAATAAATATTTCCATGTTGATATACTGTCATGATTGAAAATTAGTACACCCTGGGAATGATTGTGTGTTTTTCAAGCACAGTTTGAAAGACACATGAATGTTTAAAATAACTATAAAATATTTTTTAAAAAATTTAACGCATTTCAAATTTTAAAGCGATTTAACTTCCGGTGAGCAACAAATAATTTCTGCTTAATGTGGCTGACGTCACTGCAGGCGCCAGTGACGAGAACGCTGTCGGTCAGTATTTTGATTAAACCTCAGACGTTCAGGTTGATGTTCTTGACTGTTAAAGTCAAACTGAGCACTTTGGTGATAAAAGATTTAAAAAGATCTCAAAGCCAACAAGTGGAGGAAAGTCAAGATGGCTCCCAAACGTCTGTCATCCTCAGAGCAGACCGCAAAGATGTTAAAAGAAGTCTTTGAAAACCCATCAATGTTATCAAGAACACTACAGCAGGATCTTGCTACCGTAAAGGGAAAAGTACATTCCTTTACAATCAGACATGGGACATGTACAAGAAGGAAACATTGCCCTAAAAAAAGAGCATGAAGGTCAGATATCCTACAGCTGAACGGGAAGCAAACCTCCCTCAGGTCGATGACACAAACTGATCCTCGGTGATTACAAGAAGAAGTTTGTGGATGTTATTTCAGCCAAAGGTTTGGGGATGGCAAAGTTTTGTCTCAATTGAAAACCATAATTTTTGTTTATTTTGCTTAGAGGGTAAAATGAGCTTATTATTGGTGTCTAAGTGAAATCAAATCATTTTCTTCTCCAGTGACACAAGATAAGTTTAGACATAAATAAGTGATCGTTAGGAGCTGTATCAATAAAACAAACGATGAACTGAATATTAGGGTGTCTGAATAATGTTTATATCTGTAAAGCTCAGATTTGCTCTTGTGAGTTTTAAATTGTTAAATTATTCATACACTTACACTTACTACAAAAGGGATTTTTCAATATTTACTGTAATCAGTGTCTCCCATGTTGACCTGGTTGTCAGCATTGCTTGTTAGCGTTTATGTGCTCAGTGATCGGGAAAAAAAAAAAAAAAAAAAATTTGGATTTGTAATTTATGAGTGTCCAGTCACCGATCAGAGCCGGTCAAGCGTAAAATCAGCCAGTTCCAGCTGACATCTCTGCATGCGTGTTTCACTCCAGGCCATGAAGCTCCGAGCTGGACTCATTCATATATGCCTTTTTTTTTTTTTTTCAATAAAACATTTTCACAGCAAGACGGAAAGACTGAATTTTAAAAATTGGCGCAAAAATTACAACAAAAAAAATTTCAGCAGTTCTGGAATCAGCAGGGTTTATCTGAAAATACTGAAAAATGCGTAAAAAGTGGCACCTCATGCAACAACAGCTCTAAGGTATCCAGATGGACACACTGTCCTTGAAATTATTCCCTTCAACAGACTTGAAAAATCAGTTTTTTTTTCTTTCTTATCCATTAAAGCCGTTGAACGTTTGCAGCTTAATAAGGAATATCATTTAATGCATAAATGAAGATAATCTTGTAAATCCCTGCTGCGGTATTCAATCAGCTTCCTCTGTTAAATAACTTGTAGTAGTATCTCTTTTGCACTATGTATTCTTTAGGAATTGAAAATCTAAATCGGTCAAAATCAGAATTAGCAGGTCAAACCTCTTTCGGTCCTCTTTGCTGCCTCTGCGTAGTGCTGCGCATGAAATCTGCTGCAGAAGTCTCTCCATTATCTTCACATGGGTAACAGCGGACAAATCCCCTGTAGTGACTTAGTTTTTGGCCTTGCAAAATGCTCTAAAATAATAATAATAAACTAAGAACAAAGCCCTGAAAGTTGCATGGAGCTGATGTAGCTAAATAAATGCAGACAGTCCTGTTATTGTAAAATGTTGTTCTCTTTTATTATCTTTCTACCGTCCACGATACCATTAGTTACGCATTAACTATGGATTAAAAAGAGTAACTCAGTGGATAAGTATACAAACATCCATTTAATCAATGCTTTTATTTACCGTCCACCCTTGGTGTGAATCGCACAAACACCAAGAGCGCACCAGAACCTAAAAGTGTCCCAGATAGAAGCACTTCCCGACCAATCTCCAATAAATAAATGATGCCCTCCATCAACGTATAAGACGGCTGAAAAAAGATTGCCTGCATTTACGCTCACGCAAACTGGAATATGACATCTTCTAAAGAGACCACAGCACATCAAGATTCGTCTCTGGGGAGAGATACTCTCGGCGCTGCACAAGCTTCCAGATGGGAGGGGGAAACATAAAGGACAAAACAAAAAAAACAGGAGCCCTCCCGGGTCCGAGCAGCATCTGGGACGTAGAAGTTAGCAACAGGATTGGCGCATACCTTTTAACACCAACGCATCTCTCTGCCTCGGGACCAGAAACAATGAGTCATGGTCCCTTATGAAAAGGTGACTGAAAAAAAATCTTACTGGTGACAACACCCATCTGAGTTTATCCTGACACTCTATAATACTAATTTGATGAGAGGTCAGTTTGTATTGACGGATAGTAAGGGTTGAGCTTTAGTACATTATTTGTTTTTCAGGGACAGTGTCTCCTCTCCAGGGCTTTTCTTTCTTTCTTTCTTTTTTTCTTTCTTTCTTTCTTTCTTTCTTTCTTTCTTTCTTTTTTTCTTAACTTGGTTTCTTTGTGCAAAGCAAATTAATGTAACCATCCAAAATAAAACTAGAATGACTGGAAAACGTACACATTGTTTTCCTATTGTTTATGTAAGAAGGCCTCCCTAAAAACAAGTTTCATATTAAGCATAAGCTCCGCCGTCCAAAGCTGCCGTTCTTGAATTCCTGATCCAGAGTTTCAAATGAGGGGTTGAATTGTTTTCTGGATGCAGACAGTTGTCAGCTAAGTGGAGGCATGAGTTAGTGATGGAGAATTGGAGAGCAGCAATTTGATTTGTAGGTTAATAGCATCCTCATTGACCACACAACTTGCTCAGCAGGCCCAATTGGTAGCTCCGAACAGAGGAGGGGGAGTGGGTGGGGGACAAAACAAAACAAAGTGTAAGCACCACCGTGAATGAGCTCAGTTCCAAAACGGCAGAGCCTCACATTCTGGCAGCGTTGGAGCTTTTAGCGCCCAGTTCATCCTCTCTGCCCACTGATGCCATAATCCTGGATGTAAAGCGTCGGGTTTGTTTGTGTGTGGCGGCCCTGCGGTGTTTGGCTCAGCTCAGTGTCGAAAAAGCTGTTTTTAAGTATCACTGTAAGCAAGAGCAGGCAGGCTGAATTATTCCAGGGTCAAGACCGATTAGATCCAGGGATTATTGCAGTGCAGTTAGCCTCTGGGATGAAAAAAAAAAAAAAAGACTTGACAGTTTCCTAAACTGTTCAAGTCTCTCTGTGTTCCGCTAGCTGAGCCGCATATGAGCGTTGAATGGTTGAATAGATCCTCTGTTATAGCAGGAATCTTTGTGTGACACTAATTCTGGTTTTGGGCATGCTCTGAGCAAATAAAGCTCAGCAATGGGAAAATATTAATGGAGTAAGGATGAAACATGAGCAGGAATTAAGATCACAACGATGCTGTTTTTAGATATTATATCAGTTCTTGTAGTTTGTAGATTCTGGTGTTTGGTGAAGGGAACTTTCTTCTTCTGTGCCAAGCTGTTGCTAATGTGGAATAAAATCTGTAGCTTTTCATCTTGACGAGCTTTCATAAAAAAAATAAATAAAAAAAAGTAGCTTAAATGTTTTGTTGTTTCTGTTGGTTTCCAGGACCAAGTTGTGCGAATGAGTGACTGATGCCAACTTCGCTTCTTCAGGTAAGCTAAAGCTAACCCTGAGGTCTCTTATGTTTTTTCTTTCTTCTTAAAATTATCTTGCTTTGGGTTTGTATGAAAGATGTGAAATATTTCCTTGTGAAACATATTTTATCATCAAAATTTTGTTTTGATTTTAATGCATTTTCAGTCACCATTAAAATATTTTTCGAACAGTTTTTTTTTTCTCTCCTTAAAATGTAAGGTATTACTAACATTTGAAAACAAACAGCTGCATGATTGGCGTTTGTAGCAGTAAACAGTTGCGTTGCTGTTTTTAAAAATTTTAAAAGCAATTAATGAAGTCAGCTGTAATAATCAGTTAATTACTGTCAGAAAGGCCCCGGTATTAAAAGTCTTTAAAAGGTCAAAGTTTTCCAAACGTATACACAAACAGCAACCGGATGGAAATAAACATTTTGTTATTAATATCTGCCCAGTTTACTTAACAGCTCTATGCTGATGTTAATGCTGATATGTTGCACTTCTGTGACATCATTTGCATTTCAAAGTGCTTAGTTTTGAGCTGCAAATTTGTAGTAGAAAAAAAATGAAATGATTTTTCATGAACTGGGAAAGTGTTTTGTTTGTAGAAAATATTGTCATTAGTTGGAAAAAAAAATGCTGCACTCTGTGTATGTTTCCCATAGAATGTAGAAACATTTCGGAAGTCTGAGATTTTCCAAAAGCTGCCATCATTTCCGAATCAGGCATATTCCAGGTTGGAATCTCAAAAAGATTAAAAAGAACAGCTTTGCTCTGAATCGTTCAGCGTGGCGTGTTTGAACAGCTAGCATTCCTCTGTAGAGAATATAGCTTCCCTTAGCTTCTTAAACGTTTCCCTTTAACCACTTCTAAACACTTGAACAAATTTCTCACTGAAGTGTATTTTGTACAAACCACTAATGATAAAGCATGATGAGATTTACTAGTTTTGGGCAGTCGGACATAATCAAACTTATAATTGTCTGATTTCTGCCACCACCTGATTTCTCACTACATCTTTGTTTTTATTGTAGTTTTTGTTGATCGACCCGTGTCTCTTTTGTGTGCCCTCCCTGCAGGGCAGAATGGGTGTGTGTCCCCTGCTCCTGCTTCTTGCTGTAGCCCTCGGGGCCACAGCCCAGGATCCACAAATCACCACAGGTATGAACGCCACCCACCGAAAGCACAGTTACATGGTGTGTTTGATGGCTCACACTTACACACTCCGTCCTTTTGTTTTGTTTTATGCTCTTTCAGCTCCTCCTGCCACACCAGCACCCACCACCCAACAATCCAACTCGAACGCAACAACCATCCAAGGAACCACTACAGTCGAACCATCAACAACAAATTCAGCAGTAGAAGAAAGCACCGCAACAGAAACACCTGAAAACAATGATAAAAACTATGATACCTCCTCCAAAGACACACCGGCAGCAGGTCCTAATAATTCTTCAATATCTGATGAGTTGAATTCGACTGAGCCTCCTACCAAACCAGCATTGTCCGCCATCACAACCATCACAACCATCACAACCAAAATCCCAGACGGTAAGTGCTTGATACCAATAATATTTCGAAAACACTCGCATCACTGTTTCCAACACACACACACACACACACACACACACATTATATATATATATATATATATATATATATATATGTCAGCTTGTATCGGCGTTTTCCAACTTTGTGATACAAGGATCGGCTATAGTGGAAACTAGGGATCGGCCTTATGAATGGCATATTTTGTAGATATTTTGAAGGAGTTATTGTGATGTAGTTAAACATTTCTTTTTAACTGTGGATCTGTTACAGCTTACAGCTTGAGCTTCACACACATTACTATAGAAATAAAATGCACTTATCAAAAGGACTGGAAACCTTATAGTCCTAACTAATACACAATAATAGTCCACAGTCATGTTTTGTAGCATAAAGCAAGAAGAAGTTAGAAATGAATCAAACAGACCAGTGGCAATCCCAGTTTTGGATATTTGTGAGCAAAGTCAATTAGTTTACTCTTACAAGATAGATAATCCTTAATGCAGACTTCTTTCTTTTGCTGCTTGCTATATGATAAAACATTTGCATCACTCATCTCTAGCATATAATCTGTACAACGAGCCTGTTAAAGGATTTAAAGAGGGAGTATTGTGTAAAATCGACGCACAGGGCAACCTTCCCCTATAGCTCCCCCAATCAGCTCCTGCAGGCTAGAGGCAGCAGCAATTAGAAAACACCTGGAAGTAGCTCATCATACGAGCTACTTCTCAGCGCAGCACTCTTGTTAACAGCATAATTAGAAGCATTGTTTTGACGACGTGCTGAAGGCAGCATGTCAGAAGCTTCTTAATGAGGCTCAATTTCAAGGCGTCGAATTTCTTTTAAGTCATGTTTGATATTCACAGCATTTAACAACTGAAGGGAACATAGTAACTTGATTGTGGTATAAAATTTCACTATGTGGCTGTAAAATATCATCCATCTAAGACAAAAACTCTACAGGATCACCATGGTGGGACGTTTGAAGTGCATCTGAACAATCTGAAGCGCACCATGACAGAATAGACAACTGGATTATTATTTTATTTTTTATTTTTTTGGCATCATGAAGTGATTGGTACCCAGCTGCCAGAACCATCTTCTGTCTGGAGTTTTTAAATAATAGAGGCATGTTTTTTTCCCCCCTTTATGTCACAGCTCACAGATGTGTTTCATCCTTGAGAACAGCGGAGATGTCAAACACATTTCATGCACCGTTCTCCAAATCAGTCCTCTTCAGAGCCTCTCCGTGCCTCCAGTGGTTCCGCAATGCCTGCTTAATTTGTGAAAGTTCACATTTGAAATCAAGTCTGATCAACTTGAATGATGATTTAAAATTGACTAGAGGCAGTTTAAAGATGGGTTAAGTAAACGAGACTTTAAATATTTAAGCAGATCTTTAAAGGCTTTTTTAAAACTAAAAGCAGATTGTGTACGCTCATTGCTTGTGACATGTCCGACTGTATGTTGCTGCTAATTTGTTCGATTATGTGACTACCGTATTTTTCGGACTGTAAGCCGCTACTTTTCCCCCACGTTTTGAACCATGCAGCTCATAGCCCGGTGTGGCTTTTCTGTGGATTTTTCTTCAACCACCAGGGGGCTCTTTAGCAGGAAGTGAATCACTGGAAGTCAAAATTGGAAATCAAAGAAGAAAGTGCTAGTTTTCATTTAGAACAAGTACATGCTAGCAGCAGGCATGACAGGAAAATGTTTTCAAACTTATATGATGCAGCTTTTAAGTTGAAGGCTATTGATCTGGCAGTACAGGAAATAGGGCCGCTGCCTGTAAGCTAGGCGTGAACAAACTATGGATCGGCGTTGGAGACGGAGGGCGCCCTGATAAATCCATCAAATTTATCAGGACGCTGCCCTCTGCTGGGTCCTTATGGAAAACCAAGAGCAGCAGAGATACTAACGGCTTATGGCCTGGTGCGGCTTATATATATATATATGTAGGTTTCCTTTTTTTTTTTTTTTTTTTTTTTTTTTTTCCCCTCAAAAAATTTGTAGGTGCGGCTTATAGTATGGTAAATACAGTAATTTTTATTCATTGTTTTGTTGAAATCAGACCAAGTGATTAATCACGTCTTGGTAGTTGTTGGACTTTATCTTCAGGTGATTTTACCACATCTGAATGGAGCGCCTGAGCACACCCGGGTTTTAAAAGTTGATCCTGTTTCGGCTGGATTTGGTTGAAGATTCTGATAAACCTTTTAGTTTTTAAAAAGCCCTTAATTATTAATGTTGTGTTTATATTGCTCAGATGCATTTTAATGTCTGAAAGCCTTTCTCAAAAAAGGTTTTCACAAGCAGATGAGGTTAGAGAAATTTCATATAAAAAGACCTGAGTGGTTTCTGTGTTATTCATGCAGTATGGCGCTGCCAAGAGCAAGTGAGTGAGGCTCTGTGGTCAACATTCAACCTTTAATATTTTAGATAGGTGAACATTTTTCTGCTTTTAGCCTCCGTTGTTTCCGTTCCAGAAATATCCTTATGTGATATGGCTTCATTTGATCATTCACCCACAGGAAAGCCACATTAACAGAGCCGTACTCACCCACAGGAGAGCAGTCAACGGCACAGCTTTACAAATGCATTTGTTTCTCCCAAGTTTTCTAAACTTTGTCATTGCCACCACAATCTAACTATGCAATTAGGATTTTTTTTTGCAGTTGTAGCACATGACTGTGACACGAAAGGAAAGTTCATGCATCTCAAAACCATTTATTAAATAAAAATCAGCAAAAGTGTGATGCATATTTGTACTCTACCCCTTTTTACTCGATATCCAATCATTAAAATCTAGTGCAAACAATTGAATTCACAACAATCGAATTTGCACGGAGTCTCCCCATTTGCAAATTCTCAGCTAAGCGGTTAGCGAACATTATCCAAGGAACAGCAGAGGGTCAGGGACTAATTGGTGTATATAGTAATAACCAAGTAATGACCATACGAGTTGTAATAAATTCCCACTTTTCTCTGTTTTCGTTATCTCATCTGTTTTCTGAGCTTTAGCATCATCAGCTCTGTCCTCCATGTGATGTGCTGCTTCGTCCAACTAGGCTGAACAAACCCAAACATACAGCCAGAGCTACAATGCAGTTGTTTATGTCAAAGTATATTAGACTGGCACCGTCAAAGTTTTGTTCTTTTGTTTTTTCGTTTTGTTTTTTAGTGAGGAAAATTCTCAAAAACAACTTCAAGATCTAGATGTACAAATCTGGTGGCGACATACCTCACCAACATACACCTGCAATTATAACAACAGGCGTGGTTATCCCAAAAGTATTTGCCGTTTGGTTTTAAAATAGCCATTTTTATTCCATTTCACACCTGTTCACTGTTTTGTGTTGGTCTAACACACAAAATCCGAATAAAAAAAAAAAAAAGAAAAATTTCACGGTTGTAGTGCAACAAAAAAGGTAAAATGTTGGAGTGTTTAAATTAAGCTAGCAGTTGAAGGAGCTGAGATATTTGCACAGTTTTGACTCGAGTGTTGTAAACTTGAGGAAAATGTTTAAAAGTTTTTAGTGACGATGCTTGATAGAAGATGTGACTCACCCACCCTACTCTTTCACATTAATTATTAATGCTCAATCTATGAAAACTTCCCAAATCACCCAATTGATTCAGGGCATACAATAGCACCTAGTTTAGTTTAAATTCTTGTGTAAATTAATGATTTTTTTTATTTATTTTTTTTGCGACACTGAGCCTGGGAACTTATCCAAGGATTTCATCAGCATCAACTAATCGGCATTATCCAGTCGGTTTGAATAAGACGTATGCGACTCGACTATATAATACCCCTATTATATAACGTGATCGCTTTCCTTTCCGTAGGTATTATGTAATTGCTCCATTGTCTCTCTCTGGACATCCTTCAGCCTGGAGTGGAGCGCAGCGCAGCCAGCCGCTCTAAATGCCATTAGATCCGTCAAGGCTGTGTCAGTTCCCCATGACACTCGCAGCCCTTTGTTCTCACGCTCTCCTCAATGCACATATTGTCCGACGGCGAACACTGAAATGTCCTGCGAATTGTGCGTTAAAAAAAAAAAGCACCGTTTCTGCCTCTGCTGTTCCTAAATGCTTGTCCCAGAAAAGGCAGATGGCATGAAGTCAAGTGATGCTTTCTGTTCAACAGCTCGAGTGCAAAGGAACTTTGTCAAAGTTAGCCGATGATCTCCTTCCGACGACGTGTTGTTTTTCCAGGAGTAGAGCTGAAATGATTTATTGCGATTATTTGATTGTTGAAATAATCGTCAACTAATTTAGCAATCGATTGTTAACTGGAGTATGCAGATTCCCAAAAAAAAAAGACAATTTGCTGATAAATAAACAACATATTCAGAGTAGCAATACTCACCCAGTTTAAATTCACTAAAGGAATGCTATGTTATTGAATTTTAGGCAATAAAACATTTATTTCCATCTTTTAATGTATTTCCAGTATTGTATCGAAAAGGCATAAGTAGTTTTGTGAAAAATCTTAAGAATGTGCTGATTTATAAATTAATTGTCAGAATAATCAATGGATTAATGGATTAAAATACTGGTTAGTTGTGGCACTGGCTTGGAAAATCTTTTCTTCTGCTTTGCATCTTACTGAATCACCAACAGCATACAAAAAGCAGGTGGGTTTTTTACACCAATCAGATCTCATCTTTTGTTCTAGTTGTAGGTGCAAAAGGTCAAAAGGAAGACCACAGATCTGCCTCCAGCTCCTGCACGTGGTAGAAATGTGTACAAATAGGTGACCCATTGTAATCTGACGGAGGGGCAGAATGAAGGACACATATATGCTGTGATGCTGAATCTGTAATCATTCTTTAGCACCAACCTCAAACTAAACAGAATACATTTTTGATTTTGATATGCAGAAAGGCTTTTATACCAAAACTTTGAAGTAATTGAAATTACATTGACAGCTCCTGGTATCTGCCGTCATCGTGGATACAGGTTCCTCCTGAGGTGAATGGTTCACCTTCTTGGTTAAAATGTGATTTATCTGTTTACTCTGAGAGAAACCAGGTCATTTCTCAACTTGTTTGGTGTTTTTTTTGTTTGTTTTTTTTTTAAAGCCAGTAATATATTGACATAATGGATATCCCAATAAGGTTTTTATTGTTCCAGAGATACCAAAGAGTCTCTAAATGATACATGATACGCATTTGCAGATAACAAAATCCCATCAGATACTTCATTGTCAGTGCCAGCTTCCATTCTTCGTAACTTCAAAGTGCTGTACTGTCGTGCTCTACATTTCGTCAGTATTGCACCAACATCATTGTTGATGACAGTCTATGGTTTTTGACAGCCACTGGTATTTTCTCCCTACTGGAGTTTTAGCAACAATATACTTCCTGCAGCAGAAGAATTAAGCCAATTAAGAGACTGACTAATGTTCAAACAATGTGTTGCCCAATACTGGTGCTATTTTATTACACGTTTGTAAAGATGACTTTAAATGTCGTTCCCCTGCTACTAATTGTTTGGACTGCGAACTTTTTGCTGAAGCTTTCTCTCTATTTTAATATGACTCTGTAATTCATCTTGTAACACATCATACATGGACAAAACCTAAAGGGAAATAGTTCTCCTGCTGTATTAATGTTCAAATCTTTGCTTTAAAGATTTGAACATTTTAGTGAACCGAGCAGCTTTCAACAACCAAAACAGTCTCTCTGTCACTGCTGACATCATTTCAATCACCAAATTAAATGTGTACGGCCTTTTTTCCACACATGATTACAGCGGACACAATCACTGACGGTACAAGTACAACATGTATGAAGAATTAAATTCTGTCAGACTCAGGGATGCTGATACCAGTCATTTAAAAAGATCTGGATCCAAGCCCGTACCTGAGATTGAATTGGAACGTACCTAATAGACATCGATACCAGTAATGGAGCAGAAGGATTCGGGCCAGTCTTGCAAAAGGCAGACGGCATAACACAGACTTGCAATGCGATATGCAAGTCTTTTAAATCTCTCGAAAGCTAAAAGGACACTGAGAGCGTGAAGGTGTTCAATCTGTACGACTGGACTTAATGGTGAACTCGCAGGTTGTGGAACTGAACTCGGGATGCTGAAATATTTTCATGGAGGTAAATATTAACTCAATTAGCGTCATCTCAGGTTTTCTAATTGAAGAAATAGAACGTCCAGAGACATCTTGGCCTGCAAGATCGTCTGCATAAGGATGGCTAATAAACTTATTACTATTAGCTGACATGATCCACATAAGATTTTATATAAAAAAAACAAACTGAGTAAAAAAATTACCACATTTCATCACAATGTGTTTTTATTCAAACACAAAAAAATATTAATTAATGCCTGCTGCTATTAAAATGATAAAAAGGGCACAAGCATAGTATTGGTAACATTTATTTATTCTTTTTTTAGTACAAAACTTAAGATAATAAAATAAATGAACACTCATTGAATTTAATAATTTTCAAGCACTTGATGAATGGAGCATCATCTTCAAGATTTCCCCCAGAAACTCGTTAAGCCTGGTGGTTGGGCGCTACGGCAGTCATTCTTCCAGCGGCTCGTTGAGTTTTTCAGTTAAAAAATGTTTAAAGTTGACAGAAAATTTGAAAATATCACTTGATAATTATATTATATCTTTTAAGAGAGGAAGATTAATACCTGGACACCAACAATAAAGTCCTAAAAAATGCAAGCAGTTCTGAAATACTTAAGTAAAAAAGCAATGCTTTGCCTGGTGGGATCACAAGTAAAGCCTGGTGGCCCGCCAGGCTTGTAAAACACTGGGGGAAACCCTGAACTGTTTGCCATTGGCCTCATATTTAAACAGCACAGTAGACATGCTCTTTGTAGATTGGCTGCTATAGTGTCAATACAGTGCTACCTTAAGAAGAGTGGTGCTTGGCAATCCTTTGGTATGAACTCCTCGACTCTCTGGGATCTTTGCTTGCAAGGATGCAGGACTTTGAAGTAGATGGCGATTAATAACCAGGTGGTTCCAAGTCCAGTCCTCTAGATCTGCTATCTTGTAGCTTGTAGATGCATCCCTTTGTCAGTACACCATGACTCTAATGAAAGACCCGCATTTGCAGAGCTGAAAGACATTCTGATTGGGGAATATTTCCTTTTGATTCAAATGTATCGAAACAGGAACGCCCCTCAAAGTTTTGTGATAGCAATTCTTGAAGATGGGATTTTGCTGGTGTTCCCTGCCTTTTTTCCCCCAGCTCTAGTATTGTGGAACTAATATAATATCACTCTGTTTGTAAAACCTTTTCTGTCTCAGATATAGATGACAAATCAGTAATCGCTGTGATGGTGGCCCTGTCATCGCTGCTGGTCATCATCTTCATCATCATTATCCTCTACATGCTCAGGTCAGTGAAAGTCTGTTTCTTTCTTTTTTGGGTGGTGGTGGTGGGGGGGTGTTAACAACTAGAAATGCTGCTGTTACCATGACAATGCCTGATTGACCTACTGCGACACAAGCAGACAAAATTTGTTGCTCTTTTTAAATTATGAATTTAAAAAAAAACAACTAATTGATTCTATGTTTTGATTTTGACAGATTTAAGAAGTACAAGCAAGCAGCAAGCCATTCAAATGCCTTCAGATTGACCAACGGCAGATCAGATGACACAGGTGAAACGTCCACATGAACATACAGGCTCCGTGTGTGAACGTAGCTGTTTGGAGTCGTATTCACCAGCAGCTGGATCAAAGTTGTTGATCTGGATTTTAACCCTCATTTGATTTTGTTCCCTGAACTGATAACATTTCTAAGCCTTTTAAGAGGCTTTTTTTTTTTTTTTTTTGCTGTGATTACCTAATCAACAGGGCGACCATAGACTCCTTATTTTTATTTTTTTTTTTTTGCTGTATTGTTGCCTCACATCGCCCTCTGCTGGGCGTTTTTACAAGCTGCCGCTGAAATGTCTGAGCGAGGTTTCCATGTGGGACGTTGCGTTCTCATGTTCTTCCACATTATCTCATGTCTTTATCTCGTGTCTCCTCCCAATCCTCCCACCCTCACCCCTCCTCTTTTCACTCTCACCTCCTTCCTTCCCTGCCCTCGGAGCAGAACTCCAGAGCGTGCCGCTATTGGCTCGGTCTCCCAGCACAAACAGGAAGTACCCACCCATTCCCGTAGACAAACTTGAGGAAGAAATGAACCGTCGCATGGCTGATGACAACAAGCTCTTCAGGGAGGAGTTCAATGTACGGCACACTCAAGCAAACATCCTCTGATAACACGCCGCAGTCTGGAGCTTAAAGTAGTTTTTCCACAACTGAAAGTTTTTTTTTTTAGCTTCTCCTGATGAAATTATAAAAACATAAATTGTGATATGCTGAAGCATTGCTGTTAATCGAAAGCCATTTATTACCTGGTTACAAGCAGAGATGAGACTTTCAGAAACCATCAATTTTTTTACTAATTGAACTAAATCTGTTAAATCTGAGTGGGGGAAAAAAAATCCTACAACAATATTTTAAACTCATCTTTACTCAAAAGAAAGAAGTACACAGATTTTTAGAAGATTGTGGATTTATAGAATATTCCTCTACAGCTTAATAGCCGTCAGATACATAATGTATGTTGACAAAAAAAAATCATCAGGAATCATCTTAAGATGTGAGACTGATGTCTGGTTTTCATCATATGCTTGTTTTTGTTTAGGCGCTGCCAGTCTGTCCCATTCAGGCATCATGTGACGCAGCTTCCAAAGAGGAGAATAAAGAAAAGAACCGATACATCAACATCCTGCCATGTAAGGACCACAGAATGCTGAGTCAGACTTTGACAGCGTTTATATTGAACCACAGTCAGGAGTTCAAGTTGGTTTGAGGTTCCTGACCAAGAGTTAGAAATATTTTGGAGCGTCTTGATTTAACACCCAGAACAAATGATTATTTGAGCCGTTTTTCTTTCTTTTGCCTCTACTCTTTCATAATCCTTCGTCCGTTTCAGATGATCACTCCAGGGTTCATCTCTCCTCTCTGGAAGGAGTCCCCGACTCTGACTTTATCAACGCTTCTTTTATAAATGTTTGTATTTGTTTGACATTTTTACCATAAGAAACGATTCCTCTTTTATCACATATTGCACTACATCCCTAATCTCTCTGTTTTTTGGTCTCCTTCTGTCGCAGGGGTACCAGGAGAAGAATAAATTTATTGCAGCCCAAGGTGAGGTTGGTCGCAGAAACTGTGCCGTAGTTCGGTGATAAACTTGAAAGATTTTTTTATGCTGATTTCTGTGTTTCTCCTCGTCTTCTAGGGCCAAAGGAGGAAACGGTAAATGACTTTTGGAGGATGATTTGGGAGCAGAATACAGCCACCATTGTCATGGTTACCAATCTAAAGGAGAGAAAAGAGGTAGGAGAGGAAGAAAATGGCAGCCTTTATAATAAAAAAAAAATTCAAATAATCAAACTTTGATTTAAATATACAAACAGTTAAAATTGCAGATAAGAAGTAACTTTTAGCATTTTTAAATAATGTGAAGGTGGGAGGAAAGAATGAATCTTTTTTTATTTCTTTAAATCTATGTTTGAAGCGCACACCGCTTGGTGTGAGTTTGATTTTAAATCGTTTTCTGTTTTGTTTTTAGTGTAAGTGTGCGCAGTACTGGCCGGACCAGGGCTGCTGGACTTACGGGAACATCCGCGTGTCTGTTGACGACGCCGTGGTTCTGGTGGACTACACTGTCCGCAAGTTCTGCATCCAACAGGTACCACAACACTTTCATCAGAAACCTTTACAGCGATTGGTGTTTCAGGTTGTTTCTGATTTGGACACATTTATTGTCACTAATGTCAGTGACACTCCATCTAATGTTGGACATTTTACTAGCATTTTTTATTTATTGTTTTTGTTATATTTAAGTACATTTTGATTCAAAGCCTCTTCATCTGCTGAAACTGCTAAATTAAACGGGGTTGTACAACATTAGGATATATTGTAGAGGCGATAATTTTGGCACATTTTTAATTACCTTACCAGTTATGACATAGACCTACTTTCTTCTTGTACTCTGTGACCTTTCACCTTATCTGCTTTTCCATGAAGAGATTCATGTCCACCACTCAGTTTTGGGTTCTGCTGAAGATCTATTTATTTATTTATTTATTTATTTATTTTAATCTTGTGGTAAAAATATTTCTAACAGTGTTTTTGGTAGTGAGGAGAAATACTATCTCTACTACCTCATTCACCTTTTCTAGAGAGTCAAACATTTGACTATGTTGTCACTGAGTGGTTACACTTAGTGACATATTTCTGTTAAAATTGTCTTCTTACACAGGAAACTTTTTTTTTTTATTCTGCAGTGCCAGACGAACACATCATCCACATTTAGTAAAGCCTAGTAAAGCTGAATGTCCTGCTTTTGTCAGAAAAGATTATTAAAAAATATTTGCATGCCTTAAAAAGTTGAAAGGCTGGTAATGATTTATTTGGTTTTTGACTCAAACGTATATTTGCTCTTTATTACAGCAATTGACTTTGGTTTAATGACAGAAATCAATATGTGTGTGTGTGTGTGTGTGTGTGTGTGCGCGTTTGTTTGTAATACCTTGTGGGGACGATTTTCCTGATATATACTACGTTGTGGGGACCAATTGCTCCTTGTGGGGACCGGAGCCTGGTCCCCACAAGGGGAAACCCTGTTTTTGGGTGAGGGGTCAGAGTTAGGGCTAAGGTATGAATTGAATTTTGGTTAGGGTTAGGGTTATGTATGTGATGGTTAGGGTTAGGAAAAGGGTAAAGGTAAGGTTTAGGCTGTAGAAATGAATGGAAGTCAATGGAAAGTCCCCACAAAGATAGCAACACAAACATGTGTGTGTGTGTGTTTTTACTTCATCTTGTATGTTCAAAACACACTAGAGGACTTTGAGTTTGTGGTTTGCTCTCTGATCTGAGGTCTTCTGTGTCCCAGGTGGGCGACGTGTCGGGGAAGAAACCTCAGAGACTCGTCACTCAGTTCCACTTCACCAGCTGGCCGGATTTCGGGGTTCCCTTCACTCCGATCGGCATGCTGAAGTTCCTCAAGAAAGTCAAGAACTGCAATCCTCCTTATGCAGGCCCCATTGTTGTTCACTGCAGGTAAGTGCATGGCTTAGTTTTGTGTTTTTTAGTTTTTTTTTTAAGTGAATCATTAGATTGATTCATACCACTTACAAGATGGCATGCCTGTCTGACAGTGCGGGTGTAGGAAGGACAGGTACCTTTATAGTCATTGATGCCATGTTGGACATGATGAATGCAGAGAGGAAGGTGGACGTGTTCGGCTTTGTCACCCGGATAAGAGCCCAGCGCAGTCAGATGGTCCAGACTGATGTGAGTTTAGTGTCGCCGCTTGCTTCATACAGCGAGTGTTTCGTAAAGCGGCATCAGTCATGAGCCATCTCTCTCCCTCTTACTCCCCCACAGATGCAGTACGTTTTCATCTTCCAAGCGTTGTTAGAGCACTACCTGTTTGGAGACACGGAACTAGAGGTGACCTCGCTAGAGTGCCACTTAGCTAAACTCGGCGCTAACTCACCCGGAGCCGGCTGCAGCGGTCTGGAGGCCGAATTTAAGGTCTGCGTGTGTGCTGTGATTCTTCACCTGTCAGTTAAACTACATCCTCCTGCAGAAAATGTGTTTGCATCAAATAAAGAAGTGTGTTTGTAATAAGCATTTTCGCAATCTCCAGAAACTAACATCCATCAAGATTCAGAATGACAAGATGAGAACGGGGAACCTGCCTGATAACATGAAGAAGAACAGAGTGCTGCAGATCATTCCATGTGAGTGAAGCAGCTTCTGCTTTGTGGTGTGGGGGATTTTTAATTCTGTTACAGTGAGCAATTAATCACATAATAAATTAAAACAAGCTCAATAATTTCTGGGTGCATCGTAATCCCTATTATTTATGGTTTTAGAGTGTGTGGATTTTTTCCTCTGTTTTATTTGTCGTGTTTTATTTTGGATGTTTAAAATATTTTCCAGTTTCGGTGTGAAGTGGTCTTTGCAAAAGTGAAGTTTGTTGGTGTTTGAGACAGTGAACTCACATTATTATTTCATCACTGATATGACACACTTGAAAATGGTCAGAAAAACAACATGATCCTTTATCGTGATAACTACAATTTATCATCCAGCTAAATCGTAACAGGCCTACTTGCGCCTAAGCCAATCATGAAATCTTCCCAGCTTTTTCGCTCAGGATAAAAATACACCTGTGCTCTTTTGTTGACAGATGAGTTTAACAGAGTAATCATTCCAGTCAAACGAGGAGAGGAGAACACGGACTACGTCAACGCCTCCTTCATTGATGTGAGCGTGTCAGAAAAGCTTGTTTTACGTCTTTAGAGTTTGAACTTATCCTTCCCACTCCGGACATTTTTAATTCCCTTTTGTTTCTCTCTGGTCAATCACAGGGTTACCGTCAGAAAGACGCCTACATAGCGAGTCAGGGGCCCCTCACGCACACCATAGAAGACTTCTGGAGGATGATCTGGGAGTGGAGGAGCTGCTCCATCGTGATGCTCACTGAGCTGGAAGAGAGAGGACAGGTGTGTGTGTGTGTGTGTGTGTGTGCGTGTGCGTGTGTAAGAACTGCAATCTGCATCTAGGTATTAATTGGGGTTTTCATCAGGATAATGGTTCAGTAATGGGTTCAGGAGCACAGGGAGAGGTTTGAGGTGCTGACTTGACCTCCAAATTTCCCATTTCAAACGGGTGTTTGTGTGACATGCTGGACAAACGAGTCCAATCCATGGATGTGCAACATTGAAGCTTAAAGGACTTGAAGGATTTGCTGCCAATGCGTTGGTGCCAAATGCCACTGCTTGCCTTTGGTCTGGTGAAATCAGTGCCTCAGAAGGCCAGGGCTGTTTCGACTTATTGACGCTATTAGGCAGGTGGTCATAATATTATGGCTGATCAGTGCATGTCTCAGATTAGGCCATCATTTAAACAGATTTAGACTGCATAGATAGTAGAGGTGCAAGTAATCAATTAATGACTTGAGATCAATCGAAAGTTGATTTATTGACTGATTAACAATTAATTGATAAGCAGCCATTTTCTTAAAAACTGGAGTTTTCTCTTTTATGAAGAAACGACTCCAGTTCGTCATCTTTTCATAACATAAGAGGGAACATTTTTCATAATACACTAATTAAAAAAAAGTCATTAAAATTTAATATTTTGTACTATTATTTTACGGCACATTATTAATTATTTCTAAGCGGATGTTGCCAGTTAATTGATTGGAACTAATTTGAGCCTAATAAATTATAAATAGAAAATTATTTGCAAGTCGATTAATTGTTTGCATCCTTAATACATGCAGTTAAAATTACAAAACATGCCTAAATATTTAAGCTACCAGGACGTTTTTGTGAGTTTCCTGATGTTTGCATCTCCACTGTGTCCTGCAGGACAAGTGCGCTCAGTACTGGCCCAGTGATGGGGCGGTGTCCCACGGGGACATCATCATTGAGCTTAAAAGGGAGGAGGAGAACGAGAGCTACACGGTGCGCGACCTCCTGGTCACCAACAGCAGGGTAAGGAAGGACGCCAAAATGCCAAAAAGAAGACTTCTTCCTTGCTAACTTTGAATGGCTGCATTCAGCTAGCATCTTAAACTCTGTTTGAACTGGAGGTAGTTCAACAGTGTCTTGGCCTTGTAGTATGTGGGAAAGGTTTTTTTTTTTTTTTTTTTCAGTCAGTTTTTGTCAATCATATCCAGGAGAACAAGGCTCGACTTGTGCGCCAGTTTCATTTCCACGGCTGGCCAGAGGTGGGCATCCCTGCGGACGGTAAAGGCATGATCAACATAATTGCTGCGGTGCAGAAACAGCAGCAGCAGTCTGGCAACCATCCCATCACTGTGCACTGCAGGTATGAAGATAAAACACACAAGCGCATGTATTTTATTCTCATATTTTAGGAACTTTGGAGAAATGGTTCTGAAATCTAAACCGCTAGCAGCAATGATTCTGTGTGCCACGATAAAGCCTGTGGTCTTAGAAGTCATTTTTTTTTATTACTTATTACAGAGAGGCTAGTCAAGCTGCTATCTTTGACCCGTGATGTTTGTTTGCAGCGCTGGTGCGGGCCGGACAGGGACTTTCTGTGCTCTCAGTACGGTTCTGGAGAGGGTGAAAGCAGAGGGTATCCTGGATGTCTTCCAGACCGTGAAGAGCCTCAGACTACAGAGACCGCACATGGTGCAGACACTGGTAGGAGCCTCTCAATCATTCATATACCTCAATCCCACAGAGAGCCTCTGGAGTACCGTCAGGAGGAAGATGAGAGACACCAGACTGACGATGAAGATGAGATGAGTGCTGCTGTTAAAGCAACCTGGACTTCCTTAACAGAGAAGCAGGCTGAACAAGTACATGGGATTACTTCTGGAGATCCCAATTTCTGTTTTTATAATCATTTTAATATTCAGTTCAGTTCATATGTTGCCTTTACCCACTTATATCAGTGTTTTACCTGCAAAGTCATAACCATCAAAATTAAGAGAAATAAACTCGAAATCTATCCCTATGTAATTACACCTTTACCAAACCAAGGGTCACGTTTTAATCAAATTACTGGAATTATTTCCAGTTAAGACGCTTTTTACGTATTATGTACACATATTTGCATGCACTACCGTTTTTGTGCGCAAACAAGCTCAGGAACATCACATTATGCATCGTAAACCTTTTTAAATGCAACCTGTGTCGGTGCGTGCAGCTGACGTTTCCTCTCCCACCGTCTCCTCAGGAGCAGTACGAGTTCTGCTACAAAGTGGTCCAGGAATACATCGACGCTTTTTCTGACTACGCCAACTTCAAGTAGGGCCTTGCAATGGACGGATCAACAGATGGATATCCACATACACCTATTACAAGTATAAGCGTGTACCAGAACACACACACACACACACACACACACACACACACACACAAAATGTCTTGCAGCAACTGCATTTTCCCCAATCTCGTGGATGATGAAGACGGACTGATTGCGCAATCAGCGGATCGGAGTTACCACCCGCCTGAAAAGGGAACCGACGTCTACGCCCGAAGGACAGGGCAGCGCAGATGGACACAAAATTACTGAGATGCCTTCTTGAATCTTTTGTAAGGATGTTAATGACAAACCGTCACCCTATTCTTGCTTTACATAGTCACACCCTCCCCCTCCCCAACCAACAAACATGTATATATACTTACTGTGTTGCATTTTATCACTTTGTTTTCAGACACAGTTTTGAGTTTGGCTGCATTTTTCAAGTGGCACCTGTAATGTATTTTATTGGTATATACAGATATATAAAAATATAAATATATATGAATACAAACCAAATGTTTTTGGTGGCTAATGTGCAACATCAAGCGTCAAGATAATGATGTTTGGATTTATTTTTATTTTTTATTTTTTAAGTTTTATTTTTTAGGGACAAAGACTTAAGAATATTTTTGACTTCGCCTGAGCCTCACTGTAGCGACAGGTAGCAGAAGCTTCAACATCTCCCAGTAAAACCCTGACCTGTTTTCCACTCCCACATGTTGCTACACACACACACACACACACACACACACACACACACACACACACACAGACAGGGTAAAAGCCATTCCTCTGCACCTGCCTACACCATCTAATTTGGCAAATTGAAACCTCCACGACTTCTTTTCTTTTTTTCTTTTTTTTCTTTTGAGGGGTGTGAAGCTGATTCGCTATTGCAGATCTGAGTTTCTTTGACGTAGCTCATAATCTCAGGTTTTTCACGCACACAAATGCACCCATCGACTGTCGTGAGAATTTTGTGTGCGTTTGTGTGTTTTACGCTGAAGTATAAGCTGGCCGAACAGATCCACTGTGTTTTCCCGTTACTGTCTGCTTTGTGCCAAAGTCCTTCACTCACTCTTGTAGCTCTGAAGTCTGAGAACCTTAACCGACCTCCCGTTGACTCTCAGAACAAACTATCCGGCGGCGGTGAGACGCATCCATCCGGAATCTAGTCTGGCTATTGTAAAGCTTTGACCTGCCGATACCGATTCTAGCCGAGTTCCTGCAAGAACTGTGACAGAAGAACATCGTTGAAGACATTTTTCTAGCCTTCCTGCAGTGAACAGTCAATAATTAGAAGAGGCAAAGTCACACTCACGGGAGAGCAGTTACTGTAAAACTACTTCAAAACTAGGGCAAAACGATTACAGAGTTAGCAGAGTTTAGCATCTTGTGTTGGCGATTAGGATTTTGTTACTAAAACAGCGCTCTACACTTGTGTCGCTTATGATGTAGACGCCCTACCTTCAGTCTGAGATTTGAAAGCTCAGAAGAATAAAACAGATTTATTGTTTTCTCTTTACGTTTTTCTCGTAGCCTGAATGAGCCGCAAACATTTTCTGAAAACTTCACAGGAAGTACAGTCTCCTACTTTTGTGTGTCTTCTGACTTCACTGGAGCTAAACATAGCAAAGTTCAGCTCTCCTTCCTTCATTTGCTCTGTCTACACCGAAGAGTGGTGTTGTTACAAGATAGGTGTGACGCGTTTACCAATCCAGAAAGGTCAGAGTTTTGAGTTTCTGACCGCCCGGTCACCAGGTTCTCTAATTAATAAGTTGAACAAGTGATGTGATCTATGGTCTAAAATGCGTTTAACATCAACACCATGTTTGTGAATGAGCCAAGCCACAAACGCAACCACAACGTTAACGTGCTATTGGACTCAGTAAGTTTTACACATTTAGCTTCGTTCTTTTTTTCTTTTATCTTTAGAAACATTCATTCTGCACTTATCACTTCTTTGGTGGATAATTCCCATTTATTTCTTACGTTTGCTCAGATTTTAAGATTCCCTTTTTTTTTGTTTGTTTGTTTGTTTGTTTGTTTTTAAATATTATTTCACCTGAGCTGCAGTGACTTTACAACCAAGTTGTTGAGGCTCTTCCCTTTGCGATTGTAATGCAAGTCAAATGATGTCAAATCAACCGTGAGGATGCTCCTAATTTCACTTGAGTTCGCTTTGGAAATGGCCGACATGAGCATTGTTTGAATTAACTGGTTGTACAAATCAGAGTTTCTCTTCCTCTCTGACTGAACTGGAGGTACTGAGATAATATTCCTCAATGGGAGTCTTTATTATTATTATTATTATTATTATTATTATTATAGATCTGTTTCACACCAAACAGTCATCGTCGTGCACAATCTACATAACGTGAACCCCTCTGATGTTCTTTGACCTTTGTGAAAGGAATTAGCACAATCATATTATCTTCCTGCGATTGGAAAGTGCACGCCTAATTCTGAGAACGGGTGAATGAGTCATGTTGTTTTCTTGAGCGCTCCCGCAATATTTGCACTAAAATGTAAAAGCCCTTTTAAATTGACGAATCAAACGAGAGGTAGGGCAGAGAGAGAGAGAGAGAGAGAGAGAGAGAAAGAAAATGTGGTCTCGGCGTTCGAAGACGGAGGCCGTCTTTAAATTTTTCCGACGCTCCTTCAGGTCTCACAGCTCCCCTCTTAAGAGCCATATGTGGATCCAAAAGTAGCAGATAGTTTGACCGTTCACTGAAACTGTGCGTCCTCGTACATTCTTTGTGTTAAAGCTGTAAAAAGTGCCCTCACTCGTAAGTGCCGTGCTCCTCCTTCGTTTGTGCTGCCGTTTACTTGGGGCTGTTATTTGATAGAAAAGTGGATGTTTTTTTTTTGTTTTGTTTTTTCTTGTATCTGTGCTTAAGTTACACGGGTTTGTCGCATCGTTTGGAAGCCAATCGTGACACTGTGCCAACCCACATATGATCGAACATTAAAACCGAATTAAAAAGTGCCTCGATGGTAGGTTTATAAAGAAGGTAGTTGAATCTCCAGGCTTTACCCTCACAAGTGGAAGCAGTGATTATCCCCCACCCCCCTCTTCTCCACATGCACCTCCCCAGCCATCGCCTGTCCAGCCGATGGGGAATCCGTTGTGAGGCATATCGACAGGGAGCCACAATCCAAGACTGTGTCCAGTGTCCATCACTCTTCTTCACATTCCCTTCAGTCGCTTCCCTTTGTACGAGTAGACGAGACTAACACCTAGATGCTTTCGTGGTAGATTTAATTTTAATTGTTCTGGCTTCATTTCCATATCTGTTGAATATGGGTCCATGACAGCTAATCAGTTGTGGGTTTCTATGAGTAAATATGTATAGTTTTTTTTTTTTTTTTTTCCCTGTAAGAAATATAGTTGCTTCTTTTATCACAATAAAATGGTTTTGATATGTCCGACGTGGGCGTTTTGGGAGCCTCGACGGAGTCGAAGAGAAGCAGCCGAGAGCATATAATCCACCTTCTCGTCCCCCCTCGTGTGTCTGTTATCTAGCTAATCCCCTCTGATCCACTTATTCCTCCAACTTTGTCTTTGGGACAGTTTAAATGGTCCACTTTCACCCTTCTTTTGTACATAATGTAAGGTTATTTATATGTCAGTGTTGTCTGCTGCCTCGCTTGTTTGATTTCTCTTGTTCCCTCAACCCTTTTTTTTTTTTTTTTTTTTTTAGGTGTTAACTGAACTGTATCGGGACCATTTTGAAATGTTAGATGTTTTTGGCCATTTTTAATTTGGTATAAATGTCTTAAGCAAATTTTGTTTTGTTTTTTTCTCAAGTTTGTTTCTAGTGTTTTTGTTATTCATATATGTACATATATAATTATATATATGATAAAATTATATATAATTATATAATGCCAAATGGCCTTTATAAGCAAGATACTGTTCAAACCTAATAAAGTGCTTGAAATTTTAACATTTGTTCTGAGTTTATTGCCCAAAATATATGCATTCCTCTTTAAATGAATGTGTTGACAATTTGCTTGTAGCTTGGCAAATTTACTTAATGAATTAGATATTAGTTTTTATAATGAGACGTGATTTATCCAGACTACAAACGTATGGATGCAGGTGATTATTTTTTGTTCATCTGAATTATATTTGCTATGTTGCATCAAAGGGGGGACAGTTTTTTTTTTTAAAAGTTTATAATCCTATTTTACGCTACCATTCTTTTGTTTGTTGTAAATATGATTAGATGCTTTTGTGTAGAACAATTGGTGTTTTATTCCTAATTAGGATTTTTAAATTAAAGTTGCTTTTTTTTGTTCTTGGTTTAAAAAGAAAAGAGAAAAGTATGTGCCAACTTCAGGGTAAGCTAGTATAATTTCAGCTCTGAATCCCATGACTAGAATGTGGATCTTCAGTAATACACGTTCTAGCCTCTAGAGGTCAGCGTTGCATAGGTTTCAAATGATCAGGTTAATTACTGCGCAGCACATGAAAATCAGAACCAGCTTTATTCATTACGTTTGTGCACACCGAGTTTGGTTCCGCTTTGCTTTCAGCGAAGACACTTAGAAACGGACTCTGTGATGGTTGGATTTTATGTATCCATCTGTAGTGCCGACCTAAAAGTAAAAGTCTAATCGGGACGTGAACCTGTCTTATTTCATGAATGAACCAAACCACAAAGTGAATAGTGGCCCTGTAGCAGATAGCCAGCAGCACTTTGAGTCGACGACATTTACGTAACATGATAAATAAAAAGTTATTTTTTTTAAACTGCTTTATCTAATTATCCTTTGAAGGAAAATGACGGAAAAATGAGGAAGAGGGTTTGAGCTAATTCTAACATTTTAGAAAAATGCCATCAAGTATAATCAAGCTTTGTCCATATTTGTGTTTTATTATTATTTTTTTAGAAGACCAGGGATTGCACTTAACCATTTCTTTACCGGGTTACACAGAATCACTTTGCATCAAGAGCCTTAAGTGATTCTGCTAAAAAGTAAATATAACCCTGAGCAGGAATCCATCTTGTTTGTTCCCCTTGCCATCACACAGCCCTGACTTTTTCCATCATTGAGAGGTCAGTAGGGTCAGAGGGATCATGTGTGATGAGACTTTGTGGGAGAAGAATAATAAAAAAAAGAGTAAACACTTGAAATTGGTTACTTCCTGGCTTTATGTCCTCTTGTGGAAATAGTAAGCCATGTTAAATTACATCAGTGTTCACGAACCAATCCGTCAATGGATTAATCCTAATGTTCCATGGAGTAATCTGTGTAGCAAAACAACACAGATTAAGAGAGCAAGTGATCAGTAAAATGGAGACTGAAATGTGTAATGAATTCCCCAAATGTAATGACTAAGTGAAGGGAACAAAATGAACAGGAACTAACAAAGATGAGCACCGTGATAAAAATGAACACAAATTATAATCTGTCTCTGACTACAAAGGAAAATGTATGACGTTGATCTGAAAGTTCAAATTATTGTGATCTAAACTGATTAAAACCTGAATTTAGCCAAAACTGACTCAGTTTCTCAAGCATGTCTCTTTATGGTCTGCTTTTAAGTTGTAATACTTTCTATCAGTACACAGTAAAAATGCCAGTGTTGAATTAACCCTCTATGGCATACCGTTGCTCTCAGGCAACAAACCACATTTCTGTAGCTCACGTTGCTCCTTTATTTTATTTTTTGGGGGGAATGATTTAAAATACCTCTAGTCATATTTTTGTCCAAATAAAAGAGGTATTGAGGTTCATGTGACCTTTTGCTTAGAAGAGGAACAGCTACACCTTGCCTCCTACTTGTAAGTTATACATCACTTTTCTTCATGTTTAAATTTGGGTCACTAACTAAAAATATTTTTAATATCTGTAAGTATGTAAAGAAGCATTATAGATCATTTCAAGACATTTTTTTTAAATTATTTATATGCAAAAACTGTGTTTTTTTGTTTGTTGCCTCAGGGCAACATGGCGCATTTAGGGCCCTTTTGCTCAGACAATATTATTCTAATGCAATGATATGCAATTGATTACAAAATAATTATCAGAGCCAATTTTTTTACTTTATTATTGACTAACAGCAACAGGAGATGGATGCAAGATCATTTCATGGACAAAATGTGCATGGTTCATAAGCTGGGGTCATTCCCAATGAAAACATGAGGATCCATTGTAAAACCATTATTTCATTGTTTGTTTATCCTCAAAACTGACTTCAGTCCCAAAGAGTGATAAGCTGGTCATCAATGAACTAATGTACTTATTCCAAGGCAGGCAAAGACTGAAGCAATACCTGCCAAACCCAAAAATATGGGTCTGGAGGGAACTTTGCATGACTGGAGTAGATGGTGTTCCTTACAACCTACACAGGGCGAGCCGTACCACCACCAAATCTACCAGATATGGGAGCTGATGGAAATGTTGTCCTTTGCTTGGCTCAAATTCTAACAAAAAATCAGATCTACAAACTCTTATAAAAAAGAACCTGCAGCCCTAAGTCCTGTCACTGATGTGAATTTGGTCGCTACAACCCATAGATAATCAGATAACCAGATGGTGATTCCCAGGTACGCCAATAATCAAGTGCCAAAAATGTGATATACAGTTTTTTTCACATCAGAAAGCAGTTCCTTCCTGATGTTTAACATATAATAGGGAAAAAGACTGATTTCAACATCCTTAGTGATTCTAACATACACATGTACAAACACACAAATGCTCGTTTTAGTAATTTGCGCAAATGTATCATTCATTAATGAAAGTTAGTTGTTTGTTTTATATTTGGTGAGTTGGAACCATGTCTGATTTATTTTTGTCAAAAAAAAGTTTTTTTTATGAATACAGTTTTTGTTTGATTTGTATTTCATTTCTCATAATCACTGTAGAAAACTTGGCGTTTTAGGCCCTTGTAGCGCAATGTTGCCCTGAGGCAACAAACCCAAATCCGGTTCCGGGAGGTGTCAGGGTCCGATTTTATGATTGATATGTAATTAGGGACCAACAAGCTCCCAAAGAATGCAGGGAAATATTTTTCCCCCCCCAAAAAAAAAAAGTCATGCCATTGAGGGTTAACATGCAAAAGTGTCCATATGTGTCCAAGTCAGCTGGTGTTAAATTCAACAATACAGAGTGTCACATTAACATTTACAACGGTGTTGGTGTTTAAATATATTAAAAGTAACACCAGTGTAGTGTTGATCACAAAACATAATGTGATGTTAAAAAGTAAATAATTGACCCACAAGATGTCGATGTCAATCAAATCCAGTGGAAAATATTCAAAACAATACACAGAAATGGAAAGTTTAACTTTTCTTAAACCCATTTCAGTATTATAGACCAATGTTAATTTAACAAAAAAAAAATGGGTGTCAATCTTTTAACACTTTCAAAAGTGTTACTTTAACACCTGCTGACTTGGATACATATGGACACTTTAGGGTGTTAATTCAACACTGGCAGGTTACCAACTGTGGACTGCTTATGGAAATAAGTTGGATTTGAAGAGAAAAGCGCTTAAGGAAAATTATTAAGTGAGCCCCTTCTCAAATACGTGTTTCCAGGAAGGAGCCGTCACACGGGATTGCTCAGCCAATCAGACGCCAGCGAGGGTTAAAGCTGTGCTACATTAACAATCCAGTGAAAAATTAATTTAACTTTTTTTTCTAAAACTACTGTTTGTTCGAGAATTCTTTTAGTTTTTAAAGTATGAAATAGGACAAAACTTTTTCACGGTCGGTGCTGTTTTCACGTTCGACTTTGAAAAACAGAAATGTAATGATTCTGCTGAATAAAATGAATTTACATTCAAAGAAAATTAAACTCATAGCGAATCAACTAATTCAAAGCTGTCTTAACGTATAAACTAGCTATAGACTCTAACGAGACATGTTTTCAGTCCCGTTTGAGACCAGCATTAGCAGGTGGTGCCTCACGTTTTCAGTCAAACATTTTCATCATAACAACCCAGCAAGATCAGACATGTAATCCCAGAAACTGTTTTAACTAGACCAGTGGTTCTGCAAGGACTTACGAATGTCCGAAATTGCTAATTCCAAAAGAATTAAATGACACAGATTGATCTTTTTCTTCTTATTTCTTTAAAAAAAAAACAGAATGTACCCAATATTGAATGAAAATCAAACATTGTATGGGCAAAGTTTGTGTGAGTCACATCCCTGGACGTTCAGGACTGTTTGCAGGGGATAATTGGATTTGGTCAGGTCTTGTGGACATATTGTCGTCAAGGACCCTTCATTTTAATTGTAGGGGCATAGCAAGCCAAAGGGGTCAGTAATAGACCTGGCCAGGGTTTTGGAAATGGGGTATATATACTAAAGAGGAGGAAGAAGTTGGAGAGAAACATAAAAGTATCTGTGAAAGTTGTAGGATATTGAGAATCAAAGCACCGTTTTAGCTCCAGAACGAGGTCGGACCCTCCGAGCGACTGTAGAAAAACAACGTTAGAGAACATCTACAGATCTAGTCGTGAGAGATACAGGTAAGGATATTTTCATTCTGGTTTATTGTGACTGAAATCTTCTGGTCAAGCTTATCTGATTTTACCTTTTAACTCAACTGTTAGTTCCTAAAGTAAACTTGAGAGCTTAAGAACTCTGAGTTCACAGCAAATACTGGTTGGTCCAAATATTACAAATGGCAGTATTATTATATCATATTTTGGGATTGATTTCTAACAATCTGGAGTTTGTAAGTGGAAAAACAAAAATCACTTGAACATATAGCTTTTAGATAAAACATTTTTCGTGTTAATAATTCATTTCTAATTTAATGATCCATTTTCTTTTAGGCGTCAGTGTCATGTCTCGACTCATTTTGCTGCTGGTGCTTCTGATGTGTGTTAGCGCTCAGCTCTCAGACGCTCAGCACTGGTCCCACGGCTGGTATCCTGGAGGAAAACGGGAGCTGGACTCATTTGGAGCATCAGAGGTTATAGATATATATATATATATATATATCTAACAAATTTGATAATGTAGTCATTCATTGAGACTATTTAACTTGTGGTTATACCATCTGTTTTTTATTTTTATTTTTGTTTTGTTTTTCTTCTTCAGATGTCGGAGGAAATTAAGTTGTGTGAGGCAGGGGAATGCAGTTATCTGAGACCCCAGAGGAGGAATACCCTGAGAAACATTGTTGTAAGTAAGCACAGATTATCAGTGATTTCCTTTAAATGTTAACAACATTGTATTTGATTTTATAAAAATGTAATTAGTTGTTTTTTTCAGTAAAAAGACGAAGAAAAAAAAGTCCCTCAGTAACGCCTTGTTAATTTCCTTTCTTCACAGTTAGATGCGCTGGCCAGAGAGCTCCAGAAGAGAAAGTAACTGCTTCCTGTCTCCACTACGCTTTTCTACCTGGCGACCATGTTCTCCTGTGTCTTCATCTTGGAACAATTCTGTGTAGTTTTGTCTGAAGTGGTTTTTCTCAGTGGCAACTCAACGTGAAAGGTATACTAGCCCAAAATAAAGTGTCTATTTTGATACTAACCTCTTTTGTGTGCTTATTTTTAAAGTACTCTGAACTCTGAAAATGTTTAAATGTGAGTGCAAAAGGTAGAGTTTTGGCGGGCTAGTAAATAAAAATGAGATAAATTACACACTCGCATGAGTCATTTTAGACAATTTTTTTTTTTGTGAAGATCTTTTTTTCCCCCAAACATTAGCACAGATTAACTGGAGTTTGATTGGGTCTTTCTAACAAATGTGTTTGCTTTAATGTACCGGCTGGTCTGAAGTCATCAGTTGGCAGCCTCAGGTTTTCTCCAGGATTGCTTTAGCTCCATCCATCTTCCCACTAACTCCAACCCTTCTCGCTGCTGAAAATGCCACCTACCCTAACCCTACCCTACTGCCACAGGATATATGGTTAATTAACTAAAGCAGGAATACAATTGTTTGATAGTTTTCAGATTGTTATTTTTAAAACACTTTGAAAAATGCACTGTACTGAAACCAAAAACGTTGACTTTTTTTTTGACTGGATATGACCCAATTTGAAAACAGTTTTAAAAAAAAAAACATTAATAAAGAAATGGGCGATTATTACAACTACATCCTTCCAAAAGGGCAATAATGCAAGCATAGGTTCAAAATCGAGGCCAAGATTTAAATATGCATCCAGTCCGCTCCTTGCCGGTTTAGTAAATCTGTTTTTTTTTAAATTATTATTATTATTTATAAATCTCTTCAGAAGTGGGACTTGATGAAGAGGTGTGTTTTCCAAGGTAGGATATTGTCCAGCGGTTTTCAGCAGTTAGGCAACCCAATTTTTCTTTCTTTCTTTCTTTCTTTCTTTCTTTCTTTCTTTCTTTCTTTCTTTCTTTCTTTCTTTCTTTCTTTCTTTCTTTCTTTCTTTCTTTCTTTCTTTCTTTTTTGTGTGTGCTTTCTGTAGTCTGTGGTATGTTAATTTATGTTGTTTGCATTTCAATAATCAGATGCTAGAATAAATAAAATACCTGACAAAAACACAATGACAGCTGAGTTTTCTGCCTGTTGTGACTCTTATCTGGGTTACTTCAACTGCGCATGTTCAAAGCAACAGGGGACAAAGATGGAGGCCTCAGCTGTCTGTGCTCTGCAGTCTGCGGAGTCAGACGCTAAAAATAACACTTCTGGTTCCCTTAGTGTGGCTTTTGTCACAGATTCTGAAACAGTAATAAACAGTAAAACTGATAGTACCATGGTTAAAGGTGAGTTGTGTCTGGAATGTAAACATTCAGCCGGCTTATACCCTTACTTTCCTAGCCAACGTTAGCTTCCTCGGCGAGCTGACTAGCATTCGAGCTAGTTAGCTCCTTTATGCTAAAGAGGCTAACGTTTGCTGCAGGGAAGATTCAGTGTTTTAATGAGGCCTGTTGTTTAATGGTTTGTTTCCCAATTAAATGACTTAATTTATTCAGAATTATTATTTTTTTTATTTCAGGGACGGATATTAAAAGTGGCTAATATCTTGTTTTGATTCTCTAAAGTGAATCAAAACAATGTTTTTGCAGTGACGAGGTAAACTCTATTCTCTTGAAAATAACTTAAATTTGATAGACTAAATGATATGGATAAGAGATAAGAGTACATCAGCTGGTTTTCTGTGAATTTTCTGTGAAGGCCAGAAAGTTGCTGTGGGTATGACAACAGGAGCAAAACTAATTCTAATCAGATTCTTATTTGAAAGTGTTTATATTCAAACGCTCTACACAGTGCAGGAAGAGTAATTTTTATTTTTAAGTTAAACAACTCTTGTGCCTCACCTCCAGCAATATCAAAGCAGATTTCCACCCCACAGTTTAGTATGCTGTTGTACTAAGGTCATTATATTTCAATGGGAGTTGCCAAAATTGGCATGTTAATCAGGATATCTGCTCACAAACACTTTGTTGTTTTTTCAAGTTTTATCTTTTTAAGAGACGTCAGTTATACTCTGATTATGTCTATTAATAGAATAGACATAATCAGTCCAAAAAGCAAAAATGTAGGAAGTGCACACCTCTAGATGACTGGTTATCTGCAGCAATAGATGGGGGGGAACGGCATTACTCTGCTCTGTAGAGCTGGTCGCGCTGGCTCTCTCTCTCTGGCACCTTTTTAGAAGACTTGCTATGTTGTGGAAACAACATGGCAGAAAGTTTTTGTGGGTTTGATGTATTTGTTTTCAGTCTTGTTGAACGTTGACACCAGCCCATGGTTACTACTGACGTTTTGAGAGGTTTTAGTTTTGAACATTTACTTTAAAAGTTCACCATTACAGCTTCAGTGACACAGTGTTCGCCTTGGCCACAGTATGTATTCGTCATGTTCTATAGGCCGTACACCATATCATTTAGTCTATCAAATTTAAGTTATTTTCAATATTTTTGGATGTTTGTTTTGAAATAGTCCTTTATGGAGAGCTTTTGCGCAATCACAGAAAGACTAGAAAAATAATCATGGATTTGTGACATCAAGGAATCGATGCACAATTTGTTAGACAATAATAGTGACACCATGTTTTATGCAACAAAAGCCATTTATTTTTGAAATAAGACAAAAAAATATATTTTGACCATGCTCATTATTTATTGGTGTTGTAAAGAAATGTTATTACAGTGACAGCAACAAATTAACATAAAATATCAGAAAATTGAGTGTGAAACAATTAGTTTCATGCGTTTTAAATCAAATGTTTTAGTGATCTTAATGAACTGATAATTATTGCATTTAATACTGAGTGGGAACAAATGATAGAAATTCAGATATCCTGTGATGATGCCAATAAATTATTAGTTATTTTTGTTCTGTTTACAGTACAGTCACACAACTTACTGTAAGTAATCTTAATAGGTAAGTTTTGATTTTAGAGCAGTATTTGAATGTAGGGATAGATTTGCAGTCCAGATTTATGGATTTCTGCAACAAATCACGCAAAGTAATTACGAATATAAATAAACTATATTTTGCTAGTATTTTAGTGTTATTTCAGGTTTGTTATATTGAATACTCTGAATACTTTTTAAATGTAGAAATATTATTTAAAATGTTCACCTTATCTACGAAGAAATATCAAAAGTAGAAAATATTTTATAGAATTTTATGTGAAATTTATGGCGAGATAAAATTGACCAGAAGCCAAAGAAACAGGTGGATTCTCACAGTGTTAATTTAATTCGTCTACAAAATGTATTTTCTATGAAACATCTAAGGGGAGCGGTGGCATAACTTCAGAAAAAAAAAAGTCTCATAAGGCATTGCTTGAGTTATTTGGTCATCATGATTAATTGTATTTAATTCATTTTTGTCATGTAGAACAAAAGAGTGACGAAGAGCTGCTAGAGGGTCTCCTCACTGACTATTATTGCCACATTTGCTCTTCTAACCTGATGTTTGAATCCAATCGGGTGGCCCATTATGAGGTGAGCAGCGACGTCCAAGTCGTGGATTTCTGGCCTGAATGCTGTTCTGACAGGTCATATGACTGTGTTTGGTAATGTCTGCCATCTACTCCAACTGCAGGGAAAACAACACTCTCAGAGAGTCAAAACTTATCTGAATGCTATGAGAGCAGATCTGGGCAGAGGTTGCCAGGTTGGTACCTAATCCGTTTTTTTAATTTGTCCTCTGGGGCCTGGGGCAAAGTAAGGAGGATTTACATGAAACGGTTGCATGCAAAAGTGCTGATACTCCTCGAAGTTTTTTTTTCTGCCAAACAACTTTGTTCTGCCTCACGACTGTTGGCTTTTTGCAACAGAACACGTCCCGCGATAGAAACCGTTTCTGTGAGCTGTGCTACGTGGTGTTCAGCTCGCACGTGGTCGCAAAGTCGCACTACGAAGGCAAAATCCATGCAAAAAATCTGCGTAAGCGAAGTCTTCTCATGCCAGGCAAGTACTTTTTGATTGATTGAAAAGGAATCTGTTGAGGGGGTTTTTCCCCATATGTATCGCCAACTAATATTGTTCATACTCTTTGTGTTCTCAGAATTGTTCAAAGTTCAGCCACAAATTAACCTGAACTTTGTTTCCCACTGAACCCGCAGTCAAGGACACCGCAGTGCGTAACTCGCCAGCCGTCACCCAGGATCCCGTTGGCTCCGACCAGAACTCGTCCCAGGAGGACGACCCGGAGTGTCGCCCCGATCCAACCCCGACCTCAAACAACCCGGCTCTCTCGAACACAGGGGTTGATCTCAAAGATCCCAACAAGTACTGCGCCCTATGTGTCGCCTCTTTTAACAACCCTCAGATGGCCTTGCAGCACTACAACGGACGCAAACACCAGAAAAAAATGGCCAGAGAGGAGCTCCTCAAAGCGCATGGAAACGATGCGCAGCAAGGTACTGCAAGACAACGGGTTTATGTCACAATACATAAAATCTACCCAACTTTAAATAAATTAATTTTAGCTTCTTCTTGGCCTTGTTTTCTTAAACTGCGGAGATACTTGTGTATCTACAGATCACTCTTCTTTATTGTAAAGTGGTAGAAAAAAATCTACATTAAGATGGAAGAAATGAGATGAGCCTCAAAAACAACATACATAATTACATAATTAGATTTTTCCTGTTTGAGGTAGCAAATTGAAGTGAACCATCTTCTATCTTGTCTTAAATTTGTGATATTCTCCTGATGTATGCCATTTGTTTTGTCTCCAGGGAGCTCTTTTATGTGCCAGATGTGTGGCGTGTCAACCAACTCCCTAAAGATGTACCAGGCTCACATGCAGGGAAACAAACACCAGATCAGGTGAGAGCAAGACTTTGTTTTTCCCATTTCAGCTCAATTCAGTTTTTCTGTACAGCATAAATTCACAAGTATTGCCTGAGTCAGATTCAAAGTCAACTAGTTTTAAATAATTCAGTCAAGTTTAGTTTATTACTCAAATTGGTAAAATAAAGAAAAAAAAAACGTTTTCCATCTTAGGAAAACCATCGGGCTGCACGAAATCGCTGACTTGCTGCATTCGCTAACGTCAGACGAAGACGTAGCGAAAGTTTATTGCGTTTGTTAACTTTGCTGAAATTATATTTGAGAAATTACGGTCAAATAAATGTTGGTCTTTCACAAAACATCTGTAAAAGTACGTTAGAATTTGTGGATGAAGCCAAGAGGTATCCACAACTCTGCAAGGAACTGTGTGGAAAGTAAAATCCAACCAGGAGCTGCAGATGTTTTCACACCAGTTTTGAATATCGTTGGCTCGACCTGACCAGATCTACATGCCCCTCTACCCTCTCCAGTAGTTTGTTTGCGTTTTCAAATGGCGAAACTACTCCTTTTTGTCTGCTTAATGTTTGGTGCTTTGATAAACTGAATCAAATGAACACGATGCGTTTAATTTATATTCACGTGAAAGGAAATAAGCCCAACTTTTGTTTGTCTGTTGTTGGGTCAGGGAGAAGAAGTTGAGGATCCTTTTTAAATCCCAGCCAAAGGTCTACAGCACGTTCGCCGACGAACTGGCCGACTACATCCAAGTGCAAAAGGTCAGAGGAATCACCCCCAAGACCAGCGAGCTTCTCCCTGAAGAAAACACACAGAACGACGACGATTATGAAGAAGAAGAGGAGGTGCAGCACAAAGATCAGTGCGATTTGACTGCAGCGCCTGTTTTTCTGCCTAACTTCCCTCAAATTTCCCACCTTCCTCCTCAGCCTTATCCTGGGCCGCGGTTTGCTTTCACTCCAGCTCCATCCTGGCCTCCCATTGGCCGGCCCTACAGCTTTCCTCCTGCTCACCCAAGTTCCACACAGTTTACCGGCTGGCCCACAGACACTGGACGGCAAAGTAGACTCTCTACCTCCTCCACGTGCACCACATCGTCGTCCTCATCTCGTCACAGCTCAGACGGAAGCGAAAGCGATGAATGCGAAAACAGGAATCCAGAAAAGAGAAGAGCGAAAAGACACAGGGAAGATGAGGAGTCTGGCGCGGCGGAGAGCAGGACGAAGAGGCAGAGGATGGAGAGGAGTTATGACTCCGAGGACAGGAGGCGGGAGCAGTTTGGGGAGTCGGGGGAGGAGAGGAGCGGGAAGAAGCTTAAAGCTCACCGCAGGCAGACACGGAAACAGAAAGCATGTCAGCAGGAGGACTTTGAGGCGGACCAGGAAGGAAGCACGAGTGACAGATCACGTTCGCAGGCTAAAACCAGTGCTGAACCCAGCGAGAGTGGACACAGTAAGTCGGCCAAGCCCAGGAAAGAGAAGAAGAAAGCTAAGGAAGTGGTTGACACAAGGACAGAGGAGGAGAAGCTGTGGGACGACTCGATTCTGGGTTGTTGAAACTAATAAATCACACCAACACTATTACTTTTCTCCGATTATGTTCACCTAAAATGTCACTTTATAACACCTAAATTAATAAAATCAAACAGCAGTGTAACTATTTATGTATTGTTATTGGCAGCATTTTTACAAAGGAAAAAATAAGATCACTTCTGAAGGTCTAATGCTAGCTGGCTAGCCTTAAGTCTGGGGTTTTAAGGAAGTGAGTGTGTCTAGAGTGTTAATAATCACTCAGTTACTGAATATAGCTGAAAAGTTTATATTTCTATTATGTTTTGCTAACCATGCCATAGTAACCTTGAAATAAATTGCTTTGATTGTGATTTCCTCCCCCTCCCCATTTTTTTTTTATCTAGAACTGACTGTAGTGCCTTCGGTGTCCTCCGGTTGGCGATATCGAGCTTCAGTCAGAGCCTCAGTGGAGGAAATAAAAGCTCATGGATGCCGAAAGCTTAGTCATTTCTTTCCTTTCGAGCTCCTCTTGAGTTTTCGCTCAAAGGTGCACAGACAGAAGGAACGACGTTCGGCCTGCGTTTGTAACATTCACCGCTGAATATTTTCAAGGCCGTCCTGCCCTGTGGCGCCGCATAAAACGTGTGAAAGAAGAGGAAGAAACTGGATGCTGAGGCAGTTTTGACTCCGCGTGCATCAGCGTGTGATGTGGATGGATTTGCACACATGCTTGGGGTCGTACAGGTGCGAGGTTTCAAATGAGAACAACTCTTCGCAAACCTCAGCGATGTGTTCAGAACGGCATGTGACGAGGTCAAATGAGGCAGCTCACACTGCTCAAAGCTAGAAGAGGATTTGTTGTTGCAGTAGAAGATATTTGTTCTTTTTTTTTAACACAAAGATAAATTAGGTGTTCAGAGTAGTGTTTTAGTCCAACTGTAATCCACTGGTTTAACAATAATTCCTGAAAAATGGGTTTTCAGGATATGTTACTCAGATCCAACTGAACAACAGTTTATTTCAATAACTCAGTACGCTGCTTTTTCCATGTTGTCTCTTCGTCTTCTCCTACTACAGCTTTTCCTTCCAGCCAACTTTTCATTCATATTTTAAACAGCATCCTGAACAGCAAGCTTTTGTGACCCAACTTCCTCGTATTGTAGAGCAGGGCTGTCCAGCTCATCTTTATTTTGAGCCATATCGAGTTCATGAAGGACGAGTTATACCAGTTTTTTTTTTCATAGATAAAACCCATTAAATTGTTAAAATATTAACAAATGGCTGTCTCTGCAGTTCAGTAAATTCTTAAAATATTGAGCTTTTTTTTTTTTTTTTTAAATTGATGTGATTTGGCAGTGTAGAGATAAAAACTACACTGCCAAATATACTACACTGATATATTTTTACCACAACTTGTTAATGAAGATGCGTCTCTCTGCAGTCTAGAGGGCCACATGAAAAGCTTTCGATGGCCAGATTTGGCCCCCAGGCCTTGAGTTTACATGAAATAGGCCTGTGTGTAATGAATCTCTCCAATATACAGGTTTCACTGTTAGATTACGGAAGTAAATGTGTGTCTCAATAAATCTGAATGTCACTGAAATGTTCTTATTTTTGTGATTCACGAGCTGGAACTTGTATCTTGTGTCGACTCGTTGCTCACAGGGTGATTCATTTCAATTTATGTATGTTAATTTTGATAATTACTGCTTACAACTGATGGAAACTAAAGATTTTAACGATTTAATGCTGATTATGCAGTAAGGATATGCATAGTACACTATCGTGTTTATTGCATCTGAGTGAGTTGTTCGCAAGAGATCAATTTAAAATAGGAATTCACACGACTCAGCTTCCTTTGCTTTAACTTATTAAAAAGATCAAATAAACTCCGCTTAAGATGAACTATAAAAGTGTTTTTTAAGTGAAACTCCCTCAAATCCAAACTTCGAATGAATGTTCTCTCTTGTGAATGAGTACCGCTTAAAGCTACTGGTGACTTTATTCACACTAAGAAGTGTGAATAAAGCGACTTGGATATTTTTGCAGACAAAGAGACTGTAACACTCGACTGCATGGAGTAGAAAAGTGAACTTTAGAGGTTCAGCTCTGCCGTCTTCTGCTCAAAGCGTGGCGACAGAGACCAACAAAGGCTTCAGAGCTCCACGGCGCGTTGAGCGCACCTCTGAAGGCCCCTGAGATCTCCTGTTTTCAAAGAATCCTGTGGTCTCGTTCCCTGTCTCGCTCTGAACTTCGACCCCCGTAGAACTGTAAGCTGCCCACATCCTCTCAGTTTAAGACCCCCGCCAGGCCGCCCCAACAGCACAGGCACTGCTGAGCTTGAAGGATCAGACGGCTTATTGGCAGAACGTGATGTTCTGGCATTTGTTCTTGAATTGTTGCTTTTCAAAAACATTAAAAGGCTAAATGGCACTAAAGTCCAGTAATTCAATTCAATTCGGTTTATTTCTATGTTGCCAATTCACGACTTGTCGACTTGAGGAACTTTACAAAAAAAAAAAAGTAATTTAAGTTCAATCTCACATCAACTCATGCTAGTCATTAACAATGCTTCAAGTTCAGTTCATTTTCCAAATTACAGAGCAGACACACAAAAAAGATAGAGAGTGCAGGAGTTACTTTCTATGTTGATGAAAAGTAAAAAGACAATAGAGCAGCGAGAGCGTCGTGTTGCAGCGTTGCCCCTCCAGGAAGTGATCACGACCAAACAGCGTGGCAGATTATTTGTCTCAAATGGATTTCCCCTCAGCAATATAAATTAATCGTCCAGATTCAGTTCTTTCCTAAATGTCTTCAGTAAATTGGGTTGGTTGAACCTCCAGTCTTGTCCGATCCTAACCTGTGAAATGCATCCTGTTTGATGTTTTCCTCACTTAAACCTGACAAAGAAATTGGAAAACATTTGAGCCCCCCGTTGGGAGTTGAAATATCAGGTTTATATGTGTTGAGTGTGCAGTAATCACAAGCTGAAATGCTGCTGGTTCAGACTGAACCCCAGAAGCACTTTTTGACGACGGGCTAATTTCTAATCACTGCTGGTAAATCCCAATATCGGGTAAATCTGATATTTGTCAGAGGACGTGGCAGTTCCCATGGAAACGGTGCGCTGATGGGCCTTTCATCCTGCCCTCCATCATCCCACCTGACCACACACACACTCCCCCAACAAAATCTGCAAAGCGTAGGTGTGTAACTCACCTGTATCAAACTCCAGGCCTGTTAAAAGTTAAGAAGAAGTTAAGGGTGTTTCCTTTCTGCCACTCATAACTGATTAGTTTTAGTCTTTGAGCTTCTTCTGATTGTAATTCCCCCCAAATCAATTCTAAATATTCAGGTTGACCAGTAAAGTTGTCCTTTGATGGTTTGGGCTAACATGAACCGTGTGAGCCCTTTAAATACGAGGACGTGCTGCACTGTAACGACTTCTGAGTAAAAACTGAGACATTTCAGCAAGACATGAGGAGGCTGCTTTACTCTGATGAAAGGATGAATAATGCGTCTCATGTAGATATTATTCATATAGATCACAAAGAAATCTAGTCAGTGCTGTGCAGAGAAATACCTCAGGGTTTCATATTTGGACACAAATGATGCAGCGATATCCTGCTTTTAGTACTGAGCTATATAAAGATGATCAGTAATAAAACCACACAGGCTGTTATTAGTTAACCTCCATTGCAGGATCACCTGAGATCAATTCCTCTGCGTTGCTGTTTATTCACCTTCGCTATCTTGCTACATAGGGAATTCAACTGTACTAAAATGTCTTGTTCAGTTAAAGATCTAAAAACCTAAATCATGGATGTGTTACGAGGCGGCAGCAGAGGCAGCTCTGGTGGTCCAGTCGAATTCTGGATTTTAATGCTGAAATGAAGGATTATTTGAAATCAGTTTGGTTTTTGCAGCTGCTCTCTGTTACAGAAAAAGAAAAAAAAAAAAAACATGAGCTTGTACGCGGTTTAAAATAGTTTCTTTAAACCAGATTTAAAGAGTCTCTACATAATATAAAAACACTTTCACTTTGTCTCAGATGTTAATAATCTTTATTTGCCAAAAAAAATAGAATAATCTTTTCACTAAATCATATCAGTTTTCTCTAAAAGCGTGTATTTTTTCGTTTTAGTCCCGCCCCTGTGGGCTTTACGCTTGTTTCACATGGCATCAAGCAAAGAAATATAACAAATAAATGCACACAACGATTAAAAACTGCTTTATATTATGATTTTATTCTGATCACTAATAGATTGATATCCCAGTTCCGTAAGTCGCTGTTCCCTCTCCATTTGGTGCACTGAGCTCCTAAAGCTGCACACAGGGCTCTGCTAGACTCTAGGTCACACACCTGGCTCCAGACCACAGCGCTGCAAGCTGCTGCTCTCTCAATACACATGTTTTTTTTGGGGGGGGGTTTTTTATTGTTTGATATGCGGTATCATGCCTGCTCTTATCGTTACCACTTGTTTTCATCTGCTTGAAATGATCGTGGCGACGAGACACTCACTGCTCCAAGTGAGAGACTACAATAAAAATTTAATTCAATAAAATAACGAGCATCAGGTTTTATCGCAGATCGAAGTCGTTTTTTATGTGTCAGCAAAACGTTGGCATGTTAAGTCTTAAAGTTATCGTGAAACTGCGCCAAGTTAAACTCTGAACCATCAAAAAGTAAGCACATGTTTAGTGAATGCAATTTACACAGGTGTAAACTGGGTTTACACAGAAAGTGTTGTGTTGGGCCAATCCTCCCGGTGTGTGTTTGGGCTCCCCTGATAGGCCCTGTGTGTGTGTCACACCGGGGTGGTGACTTTGAGGCAGACTGGCCCATCAGCAGCACAGTTCCTCCCATCATCTCTGACTGACTGACAGGCAGATAGCAGGAACAGAAAGCGTCGGCAGCTGCCTTCATCGATCACTCATCTTTTACACACACACACACACTCTTGAACACGGTGGCGAATCAACAAAATGAACGCTCCGCTCCTGTTTCGGCTTCTACTGACAGCAGCTTCGATTTGGACATTTGGTAAGATCGTGACATTTTTTTATTGTTCTTTTTTTTTTTTTTTTGGATTGCAGTGTTGTACGCACTGTTTCTCCGTAGCAGACTCCGTAGTGCCTGTTGTTTAACTTTGCTCTCCTGCCTTGTGTTTGTGCTACAATTTGTTATGTGATTTTTAAAAAAATAGATTTTATATAAATATATATATATGCAGTAAAGATCTGTGTGTTGTTACTCCTGTTGCGCTTACTGCAGGAGGCCTTCACAGAGGTCAGCTCCTCTTTTGAGCGGCATCATAATTATTTGTGTTCTGTATTCGGCAGCGAGTTGGATATTTTCTTAGACTGCTTGTTTGTTTTCTTGAATTTGTGCATTTTATGAATCTTTAATAGAAAATCATCATTCAAGCGACTCAACAGCAAGCAAACTTTAACTCGTCCTGCACTGTCAGCCGGTTATCTGTACATTGTAATATCAGCGATTTCAACTGAAATATGTGGACATAAAAAACAAAAAAACGTAAGAAACAAAGTGTAAAAGGCTTCCTAGCTTATTGTGAATTTAGATTAAGTAAATCGTCCGATGGAGGCCTCTCGCTTAAATATTTTATACGTTCTACATTTCCATTTCCAAAAGTCCCCCTCTCCGAGTTTCACATTTTGTTTCAATTGCATTTTCAGTGTTTTCCTAAAATCGGCTGAGTTGATGGTGTTTTCGTCTTTTCTGCATGAACTGTAGGGAAAATAAAGAAGTGCTCCCTAAGCTTTACAGACAACAAACACTGGTTTTTGCAGACGGAGGCCCCAATATGCATTTTTAAAAATCTTTTCAGACTTTGTTTTGTCTTGCTCTACTCAACAATAAATAAATGAAAAGATCTTAACTACTCTTAGCTAGACCTTTTTAGTTGTTGGTGTTTGACTTTCTTTATTATAATCTCAAACTTTGTGTTTTCGCTCTCTAGGTTTGTGCCAACCAGTTGTTTACCCTGCGATCAGCAGCACTGAGAGTATTGAATGTGACTGTGGTAAACTCAACTGTGACTCTGTCTACTGGTTCCGAACTGTTCCCAGCGAGGGCAAAGCAGAGTTTATTGGCAGATCCAACAACGCTGACCGTTTCAACTATGGGTCTTCATACGAGGCAGACAAACATCGCTTCAAGCTAAGCAAGAGGGGCAGCTCGACCTTTGTCCTGCGCATCATCAATGTGACTAAAGCGGACGCAGGGATTTACTCGTGCGCCACTGTAATGGCTGCTAGAGAGATGCATTTTAATCCTGGGGTTGTTTTTCGGCCAGGAGGTTAGTATACTGAAGTTCTCTGTTTTGCTTCGGTAAGTCTTGAGTGTTTATTAATGCGTGTTGGGAAAAGTTTTAATGCAATCTCTGCCAGATTTTTATAGCCACAAGGGGTGTAGGTAAATGGATGACATCTTTTGCACTATAACAACAAAAATACAAATGAACTCACAAGTGGAAGTAATTGTGCGCCAGGCAATGACGACCAATGAAGTTTGGATACGATTCTCTCTCTCTTTTTTTTTTTTTTTACAATTCAACTTCCACCTTCTCCACTATTTTATAACTTGACATAAAAACTACAACCAATCCAAACATAAAGACTCAGTATATTCCCTTGTTTATTTCGTTCAAGATCAGAAGATATTCTCCAGCCGACCTTTTTCTGTTTTCTTTGTTTGGCCATGCTGGACTCACGAACGGTCTCTTGCTGCTTTTCCTGTGAGACGTTAAGATGCCGTACACATTCGTGGAGGATTTACGAAACTTATCTCAGATTCTGGCTGAACTCCAAAATGTTCATTCCTTTGAACTACAAATGTAAAATAATAACGGGTTTAAGATGTCAGCTTTTGGATGTGGCATATCTATTGGACATGATTGTTCATCAGCGCATTACTGTCTGCAGATAGAAATGCAAGAAATAAGGCTCAGCATGGTGAAAGGAGAGTCTCCAAAAGCGTGCATCATATAGCGAAAAAACTTTAGGGCCTTTAAGATTTATGAAAATAGCAAACAGATCAAAAATACTGCAACCCTCCACATTTATTGACCGCTTGATGAAGATACGCTAAAAGCTTTTAAAACGCCACCCATAAAAAAAAATATGTTTTTTTAAAAGATCCACCAAAGGAGCAAATATACTTAACAACTATTTTTCAAATAAGTGTATCTGGACTGTTTTGTAAAGTGTGCTTCACTTTTTTAAAGTGTCAAGGAACGTTTCATGAAGAACTTCTTATTGGGTCGATGGCGGTTCAGGAGGTCGTCCCGTTGGTTCGAATCCTTGTCTCAGACACATCACCCGCCTTGCCTTCTGCTGGTGGGCCGAGGGTCTGGTGGCTCCGGTGCGTGGCAGCATGGCAGCCTGTCCCAGGGCAGCTGTGGCTACAATGTAGCTCACCACCATCATGAACAGAGCAAATGTAGTGTGAAGCGCTTCGGGGTCCTCTGGGCTTCATAAAGCGCTAGGCGAGGAGAAAAGACAGACAATGCATGACTTTCTCTTTTCTGGGGATCTAAACATTTTGCTCTCTGGATCTCACTTTCTCTTAAACGCTACTGAAAATGGGAAAGACCAGAGAGCATGACATTCAAGTAAGGAAGATGTGTAGGCCTCAACGAAAGTTTCAGGTGTATTATTTTTTATCTTATCCCTGCGCATAATTTCTAAATCGCAAAGCTGCTTGGACCGCAACAAATATTAACCACATATGGTATTAGGATGCTGCAGCCTCTCTCGTCTAGTAATCGACCGCTTGTTCTTTAATACGACATGAAATAACTCAGGACGGCAAGAAACTGCAACAAAGTTGTTTCGCTGCCAAAACGCTGATGCATCAAAGTTTCATCTTCCAAGAATAAAATTAAATAATTATTTTGATCTCAAAACTTTGCATCTATTCATCGTACGCAATGAACGCAAAGCTGAAATACCTTAAGACGGCTTAGTTTAGCACTTATTCCAAATCAAATGGTCATCTCACAGTTTAAAACTCTCACTTTGAATGATGGGACAACAAACCTAGTTTTTCAAAGTGAGATGCTACAGCAACAAAAGATTAATTTATACCCGGGATTTTTACGCATCGTCAACCGGCGGTGCTAAATAAATGTGGAGGTCCGCGTACGTAAGAATTTGCTGCAATGATTCACATAAAATGATCTTTTGGTTTTTTTCTAACTTTACATGTGTGGCTCTTTTCGGCAGAGACCCGTCCAACTTTGCCTCCAGTCACGAAGCCTAAACCCAAACCCAGCTGCCCTTGCTCTTCCAAGAACCAGCCTCAGGGTACGTGAGGTTTTTCAGCAGCTTCACCATGACGACACAAGATAATAACTCTCTCTGCTTGGAGGGTGCAAATGTTGTCAGAATGGAATCAAACCGAAGCAATAGAAGACAATGTAAACGACAGAACCTGAAGGCAGATTATACAAGAGTGCAGCTAAATTATGTGCAAAAGACTGACTGAATCCCAATCAGTGTAAATGTAACGCTTGTTTTCTCCAGACGGCTGCGACTCCCTGATTTTCTGGCCGCTTGTCGGAGTCGTTGCGGGCTTGGCTCTGGGTCTTCTCTGCACGCTGTATTATTTCAGCAGTAAGTGCTGCTTTATGCAGTTTCTTCTGTGGGATGAACATCTGCATCATCAAACATTCAAATATCACATCTTTTTTTTCCCTTTTTTTTTTCCACCTTCAAACTGTTTTTGACTGTTTTCCCAACAGGACTGCCCAAAAAGTGTCACCACCACTTTGTGAAGTAAGTCCAGATGTAGAATTGTTTCGGCTTCTTTCTATGAAAAATGTTTTTGTTTTTTTCCCTCTTCATTCTGTTTAGACTTATCTCTATAAACTGATTTACTTTTGTTTTCTGTTATTAAGGAAGAGGCTGATGAACTGAAGAAATTCATTTTCTGCTTTTGCTGAACCTTAAGTAAGTATCCTGTGCATTAGGTAATTTATAATTGTTACATTTATTTAAAAACTAACAAAGCCTGCTCCTCTGACTGCAGGTGCAGCATTTGAGATGCCGGATCGCTTCACTGCAGCTCTTCATCGTCTGGAGACTGAGCAGCTTGAAGCACCCTGAAGATCTTCTTTGCTAAAAGCAATTACCTCTAAATGGAGAACATGTCCACAGCCTGAGGCAGGACATTGTTGTATTATATTGTCAAATATTAAGAAATTCTTTTAGACAGATTATTTTCATGTGTCGCTGATTCATGTGTTTATCATTTAGTCATTTTACTTTCAACTAAAAAAAAGATCACATGTTTATTTTCTCTGTATTATTGTTACATTTTTTGACAAAATTTTTTCTTTCTGTTATTTTTAGTTTAAAAAAAAAATCACCTGGATATTTTCTGCAAGCGTACGCTCATTTCCTGCGTCGTTTTTGCCCTTTTTGTATTTATTTGTTTGCGTCACGTCGTTTCAGAAGTGTTGCACGTTCACGGCTGGATCCCAGAGATGAGAACACGTTTTATCTGCTGTTGAAACGAATAAATTTATGCTTTTCCACCTTATCGCAGAGAGACGAGAGTTTCTGTCATCGGTTCTGGATGGATGGAGGGTAACGATTCGACGCAGCGTTAGGAACCTAGTGACAAAGGACATATTCAGTTTTTGGAGGTTCTCAGAAGTCCTCTACTTCAAAACAGAAAAATAAAACGGAGCCGAGTAGTTGTGTGTACCCGTTTGGAGATGTTTGGAAGTGGGCGTTGTACTTCCATTGTCAATATTGTGTTGAGCGGAAGTTGAGTAGGTGAGTGACAGGGTTCGGTTTTCTTCTTCTAGTTTTGATCTGTGACTTGCATCATATTCAGTTTCTGTTTTAGCTGCAGCCAATATGTGCGTGCTGGAGCTTTACTGTAAGTGTGGAGGGTCTAAGGTCATTTTACAGCACAATGTGTGTCTACTGCTACCTCAAACACACACACACACATCTAGTAACAACCCTCAGTCACATACACGTTCACACCTGTGTGACTGGGGAGTGCAGAGGGCTCGGCGGAGCTGGTGGTGGTGATGCGGGTCTCGTTCAGGGGGGGTAAGGGGGGCTGCACAGCCCCTTTTCCTGTGTGCCGAAGACGCAGGAGACAAAGAGCCATGCTCTCAGGAGATGCTATCGCTCCGCTCAGCTTTGAGCTCCTCATCTCGTCTCTGAAACAAAGCGACCGCAAAGAATACCACACAGAACCACAAGCTCTGACAGCTTCACAGAGACTTAAGAGAAAGACACATAAGACTCTTTGGAAATGAAAAACACGTCAACGAAAGTTAGAATGAATAAAACAATGTGGAGGATTTTCTTAAGCCTTTTGTTTTTTTTAAAAAAAATTATGTTATCATTAATAATGTGATGCAATATTTAGAAAAACTGTTTTGTGGTTTATTTCTGTTGTGGTACCATCAGATATTTGGTGAATATCTGTAAACAGCGGCGACGTTTTTTTTCGTGCATGCAGTCAGATAAAGCCAGGAAAACACGGCAACAAGTTGAGTTTCAGAACAACTTTTATTGAGTGAGTGTAAAAAAAATCATCCATTTCCAAAAAAAAAAGAAAAGAACAAATACCGTGTAAGAACATAAAATTAACGTATCAGGCAGCATTGGAGAGCATGACGAAGTCAGTAACCGTCATTCAAGCGGTCTCTTTGAACTGGCCATGGCCCAGTTTCCTGTGTCAAGTTAGGTTTTGTAAAATGTTCCATCATACTGTTCCATTTCATATCAAATGTATTAAAGCAGCACATTTAGAAACATCAGTGTTGACCCAAGTGTTTCACCAAGGGTAGAAAGCAACGGCAGCAATAAAAATCAACAAGAACAATAAACAGAATAAAAAGTTGAGAACATCAATCAAACAGGTCTGAACTCAAATTGAAGGCAAGGGCAACGAAATGAAATTAGTTTTCAAGAGGGATTTTAAAAAACTGCGCAGACTCTGCAGCACAAATAGCAGGTTGTTTCGCTGCAGCGACAGTAGCTTGATCTCTGCTGCGCTTTAATTTGACCATCGGTGTCTGGCTAGATGTCAGTGCTCTTTTTGGACTTCAAAACAAAAACAGCTAAATGATTAGATGCCAAAACATCTAAAACTTTAAAAGTAAGTAAAATAATCTCAAAATTAATATGAAAATGAACAGGCAGCCGATGTGTAAACCTGCTAAAACTGGGTGATATGATCAAGCCTTGGTAAATGTTAGAAGACAAGCGATGGATAGACGAATTTAAAATGGGGTGGAGAAAGGTAGGGAAACATAAAAATGATGAAAAAGAGATTAATTATTACACATAATCTGTTTCTTGGCTTTTTTTTTTTTTAAGTCGGTGTTCCCTATTTAGGAATCCAGATCATAATTTAGGGCGTATTAGTTTTTATTTTGTGAATAATTAATTTAAAGATTTGAGCCAGTTTTGCCAGTTCTGTTGCCCCGTAGAGGGGTCCAGTAGATCCGGTCTGTTTGGAAGACAGGATCAGTAATTTTAGGAATGATGTGTTGGGTCATCATAAAATCATAGACAAGAGTTTTCATGAGGTGCCGCATAAAGTATAGAATTTTTTTTTTATTTTTTCTCTGATTATGACACACAGCCTCTCCCGTACCTGTTGCCGGCAGAAATAAAATATTGCAATTTTTTTTTTTTTTTTTTTACAAGAACAACAAATTTGACTGACGTAATATTTTAATGGATGTGTTTTGTAATAGTTCTGCAATAATCCATTTATCAAAAAAAAGTTTTCAGGAACATTGATATACAAATTAAACAACATAATATAATCGATATTTTGTATTATGTTAGTCACATTATGAATAGCTGTTGCTTTCTTGTTTTAAACAAACCACGGAAATCTCAAGCTGACCCAGATCCACTGTATGTTGTTGTGATGTGCTTTTTGAATATTTATTTTCTAATCTCTTCCACTAAATAACTGAAAGCAGATGAAAACTTTAAACTAGCAGTAGTATCATTAAACAGCTTTACAATCTTTTTTCTGATTACAAAATGTTTAATAATAATCTTGCCATAAAAGAGAGTTGAAATAAAATAAAATAAAAATTAAAGTTAAAACTGTTTGACATATTTTGTTGGGAACAACTGTGATGGAAATAAAGAAGTGGAGTAAAACATAAAGATGCGAATAACAACATGATGCTGCGTCACCATTTACTCTCTTCATTTTAATAAGAAAGTGTCGCTCTGCTCCTTCGCTTCATTTCCTGGAAGAGTGTTTGTGTTAAAAAAAATTTAATTTTTGGATCAATTTTTTTCATGTCATGTGCATGATTTTACCTTGTAATAATCTGAATCTTTTTGAAATTTGTAACTGTGAAAGCAACAAATTAATGAACATAAACACTGCAGAAAAAAATAATTATTCCAGCCGCCCGTTTAAAACCTCCAGGATGAATCTGCTATAAACTTCAAATTTAATGTTCAGCTTGTCATGACGGCTACACATAAATATATCTACATTTTCTAATTTTAAAAAAAAAATGTCTTACTCAAGACTATCATCGACTTCCTAAAAAAAAAAAAGACAAACGTATTTTTTTTACACCATCTCCTCTCAAACTTTATGTAAGTGATGTCTCTCAGCATGCTTTTAGCTTTCTATTTCAACAAGTATTCATCATACGTAATACAATATGATATGAACGTGTTAGCATTTTCTTCTTGTACAAACCGGCTGTTCAATTTCTATTCAAAATGTTTTCGTTTTTGAATCTCTCCTTTGAAATTTTACCTCGTGAATGAAGTGAAACGGACGAGAGTCTGGGCCTCAAATCTGTCAAACCTTCAGACGTGCTGAAGATCTGAAGCATATGCTCCACCTGTGACGTGTTGATCTAAACAACGTTTCTTCACATGTTTTGTATTTACAACCAAATTCCCAACATTCTACAATTTCAAACTTAAGCTTCTATACGTCTAAAATGAGAGCATAATTTTGTTCCAAAACCTACCACAGTCTGAACAACCCTTACAGGAAGTCCTCAGTGAAACAGGAAAAAAAAAAAATGCCCTGACATTTTGGTGTGCCCAGCGTTCTGCACGTTTCCAGTTGCTCCCCTTCCGATCTCCCCAGTCCTTCTTCCTCCTCTTGATCCGCTTGCTTGGTCTCCACATCCCAGCTTCTCGTCTCCATCAAGCAGACGAACGACCTTCATTCTCTTCAGCTTTAATGTTGCTCAAGCCGGTCCTCTGCTCGGGGAGCCGGTGTTTCTTTCTCACCGGCTTCCCCCTGGTCACCCGCAACGCGAAACGCTCACATCTGAGAGTTTCAGTTTGGAGACCCCCTGTGTGACTAAGACAGGGAAGCCCATGCAGGTGTGCCTCGATGGGTGAGTCACACCTGAAACAGAGACATGGAAAGGTGAGGTGGGCTAACTGAGCCCGTTCTGACTGGGTCTTCCCTCCGACAAAAGAGCATCAACAGAATCCCCTGCTTACTGAAAACGTTGCTAAGACTGAAACCAGACATCTTTCCATCTGGGTTCGATTTGAAATAGACGTAAAAGCAGCTTAATAAAACTGAATAGCTTCCAGTTTTATAGTGTTCGTCCTCAGTTGCTATGAGGCAGTAGCAGTGGTAATAGCGAGATAATTTAATTTGTCTGTTTTGTCTGCTGTTTCATTCAGGTCTTTTATCGCCTCCCACCAGTGGAACAGAAATCACCCACAGGTGAGAAAAAATGTCAGAACTAGTTGCCTATTACAAAGTCGGCGCTTTTATTTTCCATCACAGCACAGGAAATGTGACGGGCTTTCGAGTTGCGCCGTAGCAGCCATGTCTCCCCTCGCTGAAGAGTTTCACTTCCCCTCAATTGTTAGACCAGCTTTTGTCTGAACTGGTAGAAAATATTCACCCAGGCACACAGAAAGTCTGACTTCTGAGCGTGTTCGTTTTGACCCATTGCAACTTCGGACTTCCACATGTGCACGACACACTTTTCAGATTTTCAATTGTAAAAAAAAATCACATTTTCAAGCCATTTGTTGCGTTTCACTGCACAGTTCTGCACAACTTTGTGTTGATCTGCTACAAATGTTCCCATTAAAATTCAGTGAATTCTGCAATGTGGAAAGTGTTCAAAGGGGTTTGAGTGCTTTTGCAAATTATTGTGTGAAGTGCTTCTTGTGGCATAAAACTTTGGTCCAAATATTCAGATTATTTTCTGGATTAGTTTATTTTTATTAGCTTTATAGAATTCTTCAGTAAAGCCAGATCAAAAACACACATTACATCTTTAAAATACTGAATGGATCCTTCTTTTGTCTCGTTTTTTTTTTAAAGGGCACATCTGTGCAGCTGCAGCACAAGAACCTGACGTTTAGTCACGAGCGTTTCTCAAACTGCTGAATTTGTCTGGTTAAACATTTTCCACTTAACGCTGCTTCAGACTGCCAGACTCTAACCCCAAAGTCAACAGCATCGTCTAATCATGATATCCACTGTCAGTGAAGGTGGGTTTCATCAGGACGTTTGTGGTTCTGTAAGCTGTGAAGGTCCAAACACTAGTGACGGGTCTGTGGTCAGAAATACAGCAAGCCGCTTGTTCTTCAGCGTCGGTCCATCCTGCAGCACCAACGTGTCATCTCAGTGTTCAGACGTTCAGCAGGCGTTGCAGTTGTGACCCGGTTGCTGTTGCCATCTAGTGGTTTAAATTATACAATATACTGCTGCGACGCTTTCTTGATATAATAAATTATTGTTCATGCGTTTTGCACAGCTTGACGTGGGCAATGCTGCTTAACTTAGACACTGAAAATAAATCAGTATCATCATGTATTTGAAAACAGAAGACAGCACCGTACAGGTCCGTCTCAGCAAGTGCGAATATAATTGAAAAGTTAATTTGTTTCAGTAAATAAACTCAAAGGTTTGCTGCACACAGAATATTATATTTAACCTGTTGACCCCCCAAGAAGGGGGTAAGATGAACTTCCACCTGACAAAAACATACAAAAATAAATCAATAATAGACTCACAGTTATCAGATTAAAGCAGATGAACGATCGTGGCTCGCAGGTAATGAAAACCCAGAATAAAGTTTCTAAGAAAACAAACCAATAAAGAAAGATTTTAAAGTAATGAATATTCCCAGTGTTTTGTATCCATACATACTAATATAAAGTTTAGTGGAAGGATTGCTGAAGTGCTTTAATGTTCATGTTTTCACTTTGCTTGACAGGCCAGCAAACTTGAATGACCTAAACCTCAGAGGTAATCTGAGAGTAATCTTTAGCATCGGTATGGGATGACGAAGGATTCTCCCTTACGAAGTTTTAACAGAGGAAAGATGGAGAAAGGACGCCAACAAAGGGAGAGAAAAAAAACCCCAAAACATACTGACACGAATTCTGAAAACTCCAACCAGCTTTATATGAAAACAGGGTGAAACATTTGATTTGGGCAGAAACTGTTTACAGTTATAGTTGCACTTTCTACTTCCCTTCCCTTCTACCCAGCCGCCTTCTTCTAGCCCACACACTGCTGTGTTAGTGTGCCAATAGGTTTTTTTTTTTTTTTTTTTGGATCAAAATGTGCTGTTTGATGCTCTGAACCAGGAGGCAGAGGAGCAAAATGCAGATCTGGTGGGCTCCACTTCAAAACGCCGTGCAGACCACGACCAAACTGCAGGAGGGCTCTGCAAGCTGCAATGATCCCATTCGACACAGAGGAGAAGAAGGTTACAGCTGGGGCGTGGTTTTCTGATATCTCACTGAACTATCTGTCGTCAGCGTTCAGTAAATACCAAAGAGACGGCTTCGACGGTTATCATTGCCTGGAAAAGGTTAAAAATGGACCAAAAAGTGATACAAGTTCTGTTGCTTTTATTTCTTTGTCCACGTAAGTTCGATTTAATCTTATTTTTCTCATGATTTTTCATTGTTGTGCATGTGCATTGAATGACAGCAGAAGGAAATGATTATTGTTCTCATTTTACACAATTCAGAAATCCATTCTGCTGTTGAAACAGTAGGAGAGGGACAGTTAAAGAAAGTCAAGTGTACGCTTCCTTCGAAGGGGACGATTGTGTTCTGGTTTAGAGTGGTGGAGGACCAAGGCATGGAATTCATCGGGTCTTTCTCCCCTGCTGGTCAAGAAAAAACTCCTGGAGCCAACCACGGCAAGAACCTCATTGTAGAAAAGCAAAATAATGACTTTGTTTTAACGGTGAAGTCCTTCAACAAGAAAAGTGACAGTGGGATGTACACCTGTGCTGCTCTTGTCAGCGGAAATACGCTCTCGTTTGGACAAGTAACTCAGCTTCAAGGTAAGCTTTGCTTTATTACTCAACCCGATAGCTACATTTTATGTGGAGTAACATTTATCAAATTCTGCTCTTTTTTCAGGACCAATTAGAACGACAACAAAACCACCAGTAATCCAGGTCTCCACCACCAGGCAGACGACAACAACTCCGACCAGCTGCCATTGTAGCAATAAGGACAAATCAGGTACGCAGACCAAACTTTAAGTACAACACAATATCGTCTGCATAGTGACGAAGCTGCGCAGAGAAGCAGGCGGTAAAACCAGCATTTATTTAGCAGGTCCTTCCCTGTTTTGTGCTCCGATCATACTGGGCCCACTGGCCGGAGGCTGCGGCCTTCTTCTTCTGCTCCTCATCATCACCATTTTATACTGCAACAGTAAGTCGGGCTGACGTTTTGCACCCATAATTCACCCAGCTGTGGTGGACATTTCATTTTGTTGTGCAAAAATGAAATAATTGGTGTGGAAGTTTAAATAACCGTCTTCATTTGTAATGCCTTCTAGAAATAAGGACTCGGAGATGCCCTCACCATTACAAAAGGAAGTGAGTTGCTCTTTTTATTTTCATAATATTATATTGTCTTAGGGTTTTGAGGATGAAGCATTACGGGGGAAATTTTTTTACGTTTTTTTAGTTTTGTTCTCTCAACCATAAAGATTACGTTAAAGTAGTTGTTCTTACATTTTATCCCAAGCGATACGCTCATTTGAAAACTGGTTTTCAGAAAATGCATTAACTATATATTTAAGTTGCTCTTCATATGGCTGACTTTTAAAATGTTATTTGTAATATCTTATAACAAGTGTATGATTGATAGTCTTTTAGAATATTTTAAGTTTGTTTACAAACAGGCCTACATGTACAATAAATTATAAACCGCCTACAAGATCCTTTGAAAAACTTTTTCCTTGGTGAAATTGTTGTATCAAGTGCAAACTTTATTTTTAATTTTCAATTATTCACATTTCTCGCTAGGCCGAGGATGATGGCTCCTGAGAAACAACTGACCGATCGGTACGTCTGAAACGGATGTAGTGACTTCGTGTGCAGTTTTTCAAAGTGCAGCTATATTTCCCCCCTTATGTTTGTCACAAAAAAATGTTTTTAACAATAGCTTGTAAAATACAAAATTAATAATCTGATGTCAGACAAAAAAAAAGTTTGTGTGTGCCAGAAAACATTTAGTGACTGAAGCGGAGAGAGAGAGAGCTTTGGTTAATTATTAGTTATGTCAAACTTATTATTATTATTATTATTATGGACATGAAGTTTTTAACTGAGGTGCAGATTAATGTCAGAAAACAATTCGCTGCCGTGTTTGCATCTTTTTATTATGTCATGCGACAGTAAACTTGCCCAATCCTAATTGTTGCTGATGTAACTGAAGACGAAACTGAGAATATATTATTATTGTTTATATTACAAACTAACCTTGTTGTAACTGTATATACATATTTTTTTCTCCTCTTCTTTGCTCACATTTACAGTACTTCGATCTGAATTTCCTCTTGAACTGAGATCAAACTTTTCCGTCACACTTTAGCTTCCTGTTTGTGCTTCAAGCTTTTTATAACCACAGTTCGATTGTTCAGCTGAAATATAACGTGCTTCTGGGACGCGTGTTTTCTTTCATTGTAATACATCATTTGGTCAGCCAAACTAATAATAAAGAAGAACAAAATCTGAAATCTTAATTTTGCATGTTTTTTTTTTTTTATGTTTGCGTATTAAAAAAAAAAATCCTCTACAGTTCAGGAAAAACAAGATTTCTTTCTCTTCCTTTTCTTTTTTTAATAATTCCAGTCAAACAAACTTTCCTCGCGTGTTGCGTTTTTCTTCTCTTTATTTTATAGTATTTTTCCACAGATGTAACAAACTCTTGAGAAGCTGTGAAATTACAATATTTGAGACAAAGACATTCGCTTTAAAACCCACTGGAGTGGAGAGGAAGCGGGCTGCTGCATCAACAGCATTCAGAAAAACCCACACGTTAGAAGAAGAGAAAGCTACATTTAAGGAGATTCTGTTCCTTAAAGCTTTAATAACGCACGTGTCCGTTGGACCAGTTTTGGTTTTCGTTCCTGATTTGTATTTATTTTTTTGTCACTGGCATCGTTAAATGATGAGTCTTTTCATGTTGGCTTTAATTTCACGTTTTGGCACAAATGATGCCAAACGTAATGATTCTAAGGTTTGCATTTTCTTTAATATGATTTATTTGGTTAGAAAAAAAAAAGGAAGAAGCAACCCTCTGTAAATTATACAGTGTTTTTCTTAAAAGAGCAGAAAGTCTTTTTCATTTTTACAGCATATGAATGATAGCACTTCACAAACCTTGTAAACATATCAGTTCACTAAGTACACTTGTGAATACCACATTTTTTTTTTCATAACAAGAAACATACTAAAAGACCCTTACTTCTCTAAACAGACATTTCGTTTGCAGAAACAGAAGAAGCGTTTGCAAAAAGCTCCGAGATACAGAAAAAAGCTCGACTCGTCCCGGAAGTCCTCCACATAATTAAACATGTAAACGACGCACTGGTTAAAACACACACACACACACACACACGCATACACACGCACACACACACACAGAGCTGTACACTAGTGTTCTCCAGAGCATCCAACCACAACTCGACAGGCAACTTGGCTTTTTACATCAAGATTGCGCGTACATCCCAACACAAAACACTCGCCCCTCAGTGCTCCCACTCAACCTAAGCTTACGCAAGTGTTGCGTCATGATGTTCAGGTGTCACGCCAGCTGAGATGCAGGACTTTAAGGTTAAAGGTTTCTTGCGTTTGTTTCCAAACAGTTTCTTCATTCTCTCTTGGTCTCGCCTCTCTCGTTCTCTCGACCCATTTTGATGTGAAAAGTCTTTTCAGTTCCGTTTCCCCCCCCCCCTAGAAACCAAGTAGTTTTTTTTGGGTTTTTTTGACGTCTTTGAACAGAAAACTTAGAAATAAGTCGGTGCTTGCAGGTATGTTTGTGTGTGTGGGTTTTTTTTTTCTTTCTTTCTTTCTTCCTTTCTTTCTTTTTTGAGCAAGTGTTTTAGGCTGTGTCTAAGTCTGTCGGTCAACTACTATACATTCTTGATGAGCTAGAAAAATAGAATCAACATCCGAAAAGCAGCTCCCTCACTTATGCGTCCCTGTGGTCTGGCGGAGGAATTGCACCCACAACCTGTGAAAGGATGAGACAGGCGGTCAGCACGTGTTGGTCGTCGGGTGAAACCGTCTGCTTCGTGAAAGACGGGAGCGCATCTCACCGAGTGAACTAGCTCTTGCCTCCCTTTGTCGTAGACGTGGGCACAACATCCGAGCTCAGCTGAGCCGAGAGCACGTCAGCGGCAGCAGGTTGGGTCTCCTGTTTCTGTGGGGAAGTTATTGTGAAACCATGAAAAACAAACAAAAAGGAGGGAACATGCAGAAACTTTACAAATGCTCTGCTTCACGGAGACCTTGCTTGATAACCCGCTTTCAGCTCCAAAACGCTCGCACGTCGCTTGCACCTGCTCTACCCTAGTGTCTCATGCGCTGAGCGAATAAGCACCATCGTTGGCATCCAGGCACAAACGTGCAACACGGTGCAGGCAGACGTGACGAATCTACACACCTGCTGCTGCAAATATTTGGCTTCAGATCGCCGTCGTCCAGGCGCAAGCGAAAAGTAAGATTTAAGACTGCAAGCTACAAAATGAAGTACTAAATCGTTTATGAAGAAAAGACGTGTAGAAAGCCACTTTTAAATCAACGGGAGATAAAAAGGCTTGAGTTCTCGGCTACAGAATGTAAAAGCTACTGGCGAGATTCACCTCTGTTTACTATGTGAAAAATATTTACTAAAGTTGAAAAAAATTCTAGATTGTGGAGTTTATCACATTTGCTCTTAGCAAACATGCACCTTTCAAAAGCTGCAAAGGAATAATTAAACAAAAAAAAACTTTTTTTTTTTCCTGTATTTATATTTTCTTACAAATAAAAAGATATTCCATATGTATTGTGTGTTTGGCATCTTAAGCACTCATAATCCAGACATTTGTCATCAATTGCAATTAGAATAATAATTTAAAATAACTTTAACGTCTTCTTTAAAAAAACAGCTGTTAACATCGCCTTTTTCCAGTGTCTCCCGCCATGTCTCCATGGTTACACTTATCCATTCCCAAAAAGGCCGGTGAACATTTTTTGGTGATGTCATTGCAAGCTGCCTTTCTGTCCTCTTGTTTCTTTCGTTTTTTGTTGTTTTCAGGTGAAAGGAGCCGTGCAGAAGCGTGCTCTTATGCCTTTGTAGTAGCAACTACCTTCAGCTCAGTTTACCCTAGAGGCGCGCTGCAAAAGTCGGATGCCTTTTGCCCTGGCTTGTGGGCAGAACATGTGCAACTCTAAAATGCTTTGATTGAAAGAGGCTAGCGTGTGAAAAGGCGAGCCTTAAACCTGGGCTCCATGCTCTAGCTTACTTTAGACTTTGACTTTGACTTGCCCTTGCCCTGCAACAAAATTGACAGACTGGTTATGTTCACGCTGCTCCTAGTGGTCGTGACGCAGCAGCTGCCCACGAGTTTTCTCCAGTGAATAACATTAAATTAAACTGGGTCACCCTCCAGCAGTAGTTCTTAAAAGCATTCGGTATCATTTCTAAATGGCGTTGTGTTTTATGTTAATGACCACATTTCAGTTTTACCTTCGGCTTGTCTGTTTTGGATTTGGCCTTTACGGCGTCTGGGGTCAGAGTGTCGGCCAGGGAGTCCAGGGCAGGAGCAGCCATCGGCTGAAAACGTTAGAAAAAAAATAACAAAAAAACAAACTTGAATTCAGTAACAAGCTTTAATTCAGACAAACAAGACTTGATGAAATTTACAAAAAAAATACGTTCTAATGAAATGTATAGGGAAAAAAAAAGAAAGAAAGAAATCATGCGATCGGATAGAGTTTAATTTTCCAGTGACCTTCTGTGGTTTTGCGTCCAGCACAGGAGGCTCCAGTTTTGTTGTGGCTGTGCTGACCGGAGCAGAGGCCTGGTCAGGTGTAGAGAAATCCCCAGACAGCAGGTCCAAGGCAGTTTGGTCATCCATGGACTTCTGCAGGGGAGAGGAGAGAGAGAGAAAAAAGGGAGTAAAAATCTTTCTGCATCCATCAACACGTGATGATTTATATTTTGTTATTAATAAAAATTCGTACCTCCTTGTGTTTTGCCGCTGCTTTATCCTTTGGTCGTTTCTTTAAAACAAACAAGACGTACATAAGATTCAAAGTGAACAATATTGCCCCACCTGAACCAACCAACAACATTTCAGCCTAGTAATATGGATTATTGCTTTGCAAACAATGGGAAAAATCAAACATTTTCAGTTGGCTACATGGAGGGAGTAATGTAAATAAAGCTGACATATTTCTACTAAGGGAACCATTACTAATTTATCTACACAAAACCTCACTTAGAAAAAAAAAAAATCAAAACAAACCTATAATTGTGTCTTTACTGTGTTAACTTAAAAGAAGCCATCACTGAGCTGCAGTTTCAATCAGTTTTACCTCCAGGTCTTCCTTAGTTGGCCGAAACTCCGGAGGCAGAGTGTCGTCTCTTTCTCCCATCTTAATCATCTTCTCTTCGACGAGCTTCTTCTCCTGCACCGACAGAGCGGCCACACGTCAAAGAAGACGATGCGACGCGGTGGCCCCGTCGTCTGAGAGTCTGAGGAGGACTTACCTTGACGACGTCCTTGGCGGGGACGGGGGCAGGCTGCGGAGCGGGGGCGATGTCCTTCAGCGTGTCGGACAGAGCGTCGAGGGCGTTGTCCGCTTCCGCCGGCAACTGAGTCCACGAGAGAAAGAAAAGGAAACAGAAAGATTGATTTCTAATTTCTGGATGTTGCGAGATCTAAAAAAAAAAAAAAAAAAAAAAAAGGCCTTGGGCCCCGGGGGGCTTTTTCCCGGATTGGGGGCCTTGGGGGAAACCAGGGGGCCGGTTTTT